TCTGAGACATTTGGTCTAAGTCCCAAGATCTATGCCGCAGTTATTACCAACCAAGTTGTCACACAGTCGGCAAACACGGGTTGACGGACTTCAGACTTCAGATATCTTACAAAAACTATGTAGTTCACTCAGACTTGAAGGTTTCCTTACAATATTTTCTGTCGCCGTATTAGTAAGTGGTAATAATGTTGGAATTTGCAAATGAAATTCTCAGAAGTGCCAGACCCGGGGTTTAAACCCGCATCACTTGGTTACCATAAGACTACGGACTACCACTCCATCAAGTAAATCAATGAATGTCCCAATAAAACCAGATCGGCTCTTCCGCAAATAAGCGCTTATGAAACAAAGGATTAACAGACATGCAGCCCGATTATTATTTTTAATCTTGTTAAAAATATTAAGTTCATTTTATAGATAAAGATTTCCGAAGTAACATAATAAGCGGACTACTCTAATAAATGCGCAAGTTCGTATGTTTGTTACACTTTCACGCCGAAACTGCTGGACAGATTTGGATGAAACTCGTAGATGAGTAACAAATAGTCTGCTGTAAGGCACAAAGGGACGCACACGAGCCAAGCGAGTGTAAATCGCTATATAAACATAAACATTAACATTTAATTTATTGCTTATTTTGCTACGAAACGACAAAAAGTAACTACGGGTATACATAATTATATATTGCAAAGAACATTATGCATATTCATTGTTACCTTGAGTTACATATAGAACTGAACCTAACACCATCAGAAATTGAAAGATCGATAGCATTTTGCGCCATAGGGTGTGTTATGGGTGCGGCACATTCAAAGCCAAGGTAACTGATAATTTAGCGCTATGCATTTCCACTATTATAAGTGGAACCATCAAAACGCCACATTATTATATTATTTATATAACGTTTATGTATGCTTAATCATATTACTGTTATATGCTATGTTATGCGTATTCAATAAATATATATTTTACATATATATATATATATATATATATATATATATATATACATATATATATACGAATTCAAAGATACGAAAATCGACAGAGTATTTAAAAGTTGTTTAATGTAAACTCTACCGTATGCACTAAAATTTGCAGCGCAGTTTACATTGCTAACTTTTAGACACGCGTGGTTTAGATAAAAGTAAGCAAATGCACGGCGGGCGGCTAGTGTAGACATAACCTTCATTTCATGTGCGTGGTTTATATGAGATTGACTTAATTGATTGATCGATGTGACAAAATTATCACGAAAATTTATCATTAAAGCGTTTAATCATTTTGCTTTAATGTTGGTTGGGATATTACTGAAATATATAAAATTTTATTTAAAATATAATATATAAATACACTTTATTTAAATAGACTTAAGTCTCAAAAGTGCTTAAGCAACGTCAACTAATATTATAAATTTAAATTAAATGTCAGTATTTAAGTCCGTGGGGAACATATAATATCTATCTTTTATACATATAATAAAACTGAGTCGAATCTGTGTATTCAGCTCTTTTCAACGTCCCACTGCTGGGGGTGGGCCTCCCTTCAATACGAGGGGGATCAGGCTATAGTCCACCACGCTGTCCAAGTGCAGGTTGGCCGATCACACATGTCTTTCAAAAACTTACTAAGTTCTCTCAGAAATGCAGGTTTCCTCACGATGTTTTTCTTCACCGTAAGGCAAGTGGTAATCATGTTGGATATGAAAATATCATAGGCGCGAGACCAGGGATTTGAACCCGCTTCACTCGGTTTCCCAAGCGAGCGCGTTACCACTGGGCTACCACTACCTTCCTTCCTCGGAAGGAATATATACTAACCGTTAAAAAGTATCTAGTGACGAACCCGAGCGGAGTGAGGGTAAGTCGCTAGTATAGCTATAAACATACCAGTATCACTAATTACATGCGCACATGCATGTGTGTGTGTCTGTGTGTGTATGTGTGTGTGTGTGTGATGCCTGCAGATAATACATAAAAATATATGAACAGTGTTGACGTCATTTTGGCGCAAGTAGAAGGTCAGATCCGCGGTGTTCCCAATGTAAATACCAAGGACGAGTCTTTAAAGTTTGAAGGACGCCTAATCACGACAATTAGCGACAATTTTTATTAGGTATTATGATAAAATAAAATAGTTACAGGGTGAGATTTTATTTGTAAAAAAATAACTTAAAATTAACATATAAAGTCTCCACAAGTAAATTATTCATACAATGATGCATTATGGGGCAAGCCATGGGGGTCATTATTTATGTCTAATTTGCTATGGTTTTTTGTACTAAATTATTGATAAAAGATGATTTGTCTGTCTGTCTGTCTGTCTGTTACCGCATCACAGAAAAACTACTGGAGGGATTTTGATGAAATTTGGTATGGTGATAGCTGGTTACCCGGGTCAACTTTTTACCGCGGGAAAATATCTTATTTCTGAGAAAAAATACAAAAACTGCATTGTAAGAGTATACTAATATGTAAAACCTAAGAATTTGCTTTTTAGTCATCTGAACGCGGACGGAGTCGCGGGCAATGCTAGTCTAAAAATAAATGTACACATATGCGCAAATTTTTACATTTCCGTCAGATTATTTTCTCGCAGGTGCGAAAACCTGATGCAATAGAAATGAGACAAATTAAATAGGGTTTCATCGTAGCGGATTTCCGGCGTTTCCGGGAGAGAAGTTTATTCTGAACAGAAAATTTATTGAATACTACGTGATGGCTCTTCGTTTCGCTAGAATGTCTCAATCATTTTTTATTTTGAACCTGAGATGTTTTATGGAATTCTAGTCAGGATACTTGTTCTACTTGTCATCTTTAATGTACATCCAGATTTTACCAAGAATTGCCTTGATATTTGACTTCTTTGATAAATGATACGTAATAACCAATTTTAAATAAAACTATCTTTTCGGATTATTTTGCGGATTTATTTTGATTTTTGGTTCCCGACGTTTGGAATGCTTTACAGCAATGCGAAATAATCCGAAAAGATAGTTTTATATAAAATGTCAAATATTCGCGTAAATCTAAGAAAGTATTACTTAATAACCAACTTCAAAAAAACGAGGTTATCAATTCGTTACGTATGTATGTAATATATTTGGTATTGTAATATATTCACATATGATTATAATCTATTAGGGCTTCCAAGCAAATAGTATCGTACCTACTTTTGATTTCGTTTTTGTTGATTATTTTCGTGTATATATACAAATATTATTTCATGATTTAGAGTTAATTTCATTTTGAAGTCAATTTTTTTTAAATTACTTTTTTTATTAATACGATCTTTTTAGTATCTTATCCAATATATCACACATTATTGTAATAGTTTCTACGATTCTGCTATTTATAATTATACCACCAATATCACGTCTTGGTGCAATATTTATAATTTACTAGCTGAGCCTGCGGCATCGCTCGCGTCAAAACTACTAAAACACTCTAAAATGATAGGTTTCATACAAATTTCTATCTGCTATTTTACCCCCTTATGGAAAGAATTTCGAAAAATGCTAAAACATGTATTTAATTGTATTGAAGAGCATTAATACCAAGTTTCAAGTAATTCTGATGTAATTCTGATCATAAATATTTTTTTTGGATTGTATTATAACGTGTTTTCCCGTGGGAATTAGATGATATGCAGCGGTAAAAAGTAGCCATGTCACTCTCCAGCCCTCCATCTATCTCCACACAAAAAATCTCGCCAATCCGCCTAGCCGTTTCGACGTGAAAGAAAGACAAACAAACAAACACACTTTCACATTTATTATATTAGTATGGATTGTGCTAAAAAGTAATTAAAGCACATTACATAACAGTCTAAAAACTAAAAATTATTTTATCGTAATATCTATCGCCTGCTCAAAAGTCAGTTTTTGTATAGTATATATTTTTTGTGTTTGTTCGTGTGATAATAATCATTCTATAATATATCTTATCCAAGTCATAGTCTAGATCTAGAATTTATCTAATAATTCCAGTTGAACTACGTCATTTAATAAATGGCGACAAAGATCTTGCCAATGACGAATTGCTATTATTGCGTGATTGGTGGTAACCATGCAGTTTACATGGTATAATGGATTTCAGATATTTTTAAATTTAAACAATTTATAAGTTAATAGGGAAAGAACACAAAATAAGTATAGTAAATAGATCTACTCAGCTTGACGGAAAAATACACCACTTTAAACTGATTTCTCTTAGTACAAACGGTATGCACTACATTGGTCACGTTTTCTTTTGAATCAATGTCACTCACAACAATTGAAAAATCGCCACGCAAAATTCTTTGGTAACAATTTTCGAGAAAGTTGGCAAGAGATAAAATCTACAATAAACGTCATTTCAAATCATCGTCTTAAAATCGTCAAGGATTATCTAATATTATAATTTATATTAGTAAAGCACTCTCCAACTTTCTCTTACAATTCAGTCAATGATCAATCCGTTGCTCTACGAAAAAACACTTAAAGTTGGTATATAGTATACAGGCTGGAGATTTTCCGTAGGGAATACTAGTTACACGTACATACAAAGTTATTAAAAAAAGCATATAGTGAGGATCTGAGTGCAACTAGATCGAGCCACTAGTTTTTCAATATTATTAATCAATTATTGCAATTGAGTTTGTATACTTAGTACTGTTTGGTACACGTTTAAATAGCAAATGATTCAGTTTGAATGGACGCCAACACCTCTATCATAATCACTAATGACAGATCACACCAGCTGAGAACGTTTTGACCAACGTATCTATTCTATACTTATATAGATAGAATTATAATACTTTCTTAGATTTACGCCAATATTTGACATTTAAAAAAAACTATCTTTTCTCGGTGATTCTCTCCCGTGACCATGTTTGCTGTAAAGCATTCGAAATCGGAACCAAAAATCATAATAAATTCGCGAAAAAATCTGAAAAAATAGTTTTATTTTACTAAAATATACCTATGAGTCTATAGGCAGAGTGCCTTCCCTATTGTTGAGATGAGAGATGAGACAAAACCAACTTGGATCAGGTAATTACGAAGGTAGCCGGGGTAAGCAGGGATGGTTTTTTTAGGTTTTACAATGAGTAGGTAGAACTGGTTTTACTTGCCGGTGAGTCGTCAACCACCGGTTTGTATGAAGGTGGTATCCATAAATGCATTATATGCATGCATGTAATGATTCCTCATACACACTTTCATACCTATTTTAACCCCTTAAGGGATGATTTCCAGGATAATAAGTATCCTATGTCCTTCCCAGGGTCTCAAACTATCTTCTTAATAAATTTCATCTAAATCAGTGCAGTAGATAATGTTCAATTCAATCCTTTGTTATGTCTACAATGGATACTATCTACTGATATAAGCCACTTGCCACTAGGGAAATCTGATCCCCGCAAATATATGCGAAAGAACTAAAGCATCTGTGATTTCAAAATAGCTGCCACATATCGATCTCATATGGTTATTTACTATGTATATATAAAATCTCCAACAAAAACAAATATATGAAACAAATTAATAATTAAAAAATAAATAATTAATTAAAATGTTTTTTTTTTGTGGAAGAGGATTTAGGGATGGTATTTTCCAAGGAAAGTATTTCAATTCAAACATAATTATTATGAGGAATACATCTATCTAAGTATATAGGTACATATATATAATAAAATTGTAACTAAGCCGAATCTGTACGTTAAATATTTTTTGGAAAATCTTATTGAAATAAACATTATTATCGACACAGAAGCCGAATCTATAGTTTTTAGAATTTTTATCTGTCTGTCTGTCTGTCCGTCCGTCCGTCCGTCCGTCCGTCCGTCCGTCCGTCCGTCCGTCCGTCCGTCCGTCCGTCCGTCCGTCCGTCCGTCCGTCCGTCTGTCTGTCTGTCTGTCTATTACCGCATCACAGAAAAACCACTGAAGGGATTTTGATGAACTTTGGTATGGTGATAGCTGGTTATCCGGGTCAACATATAGGATACTTTTTACTGCGGGAAAATGTTAGAGGATGTTTTAGAGTAATCCATAAACATACTACGTAAAAAACACGCGTTAAATATATATACTTCTTTTTTCAACTTCAGTTGGTTAAAAATATCTCTTATATTTGTAATTGCGAATGCATGAGCTGCATCGCAAATGTACATTATGTATATATAATTTATATTTCTTCATAAACATTACATTTTTCTTCTTTAAAAGTGACAAGAAACTGATGAGAGGTTTGAAGATTTGTTTATGGTTATGTTTGTTTATATAGTAATAATTAAAATATATTCGTATATCATGATTGTGTGATTCTTCTCGATTACCGCAAAAGTATAAATATATATTGTAATGGATAAATTTTCACATATATAAGTTATTATATTGTTTTAATTTTTGGACTTAATAGAATGGATATGTTACCTTTTTTATATATTTTTTATTTCTTATGTTTTGATAATAATAATTTCTTGTAATTTTTTTATTTCTTTTATTACTCTCTCAAGAAAATGTGAAATTAAAAATATTTAATTTTTGTATATATGAGTACATACAAATACTAGAATTTTCATACCAAATCTTTAATATTTTCTTTTCCTAATCTCAAGACAGATGCGGACTTTTTCTGCCCTGTAAAGAAATTAATAGGGATAAAAAAAATCGGTTAGTTTTATAGAAATGAATTTTATTTATTTTTTACTAAAAGGTAAGCAAAGGTATCTTTAGCTTAGATATCTTTTGGATTAACCTTTAAGCCAGCATAAAGCCTCTTTAAAGAGTATATCAACAGATAAATAAATAGATAGAGAAAGTATACCCTTAGCCCTATTTTTCCTAAATTCAGTAATTTTATTAAAAAAAAGTAACCTCTTGTATATAATAAACTAGCAACTCACCCTTGCTTCGCTCGGGTTCGTCCCTAGGTACGATTTAAATTAAAATGGATATAGTATGCTATTCTTAAGAGATAGACATATGCCATCGTAGACTTTTCTGTAGACCTATATAAGATACACAATTCCACTATACATTATTTTGTTATATCTCAAAGGGTTTAGGCAGGGTTTTCGTTCAAAGCTCCCTGACGTCTTATTTTTTCCGACACCTCCAACAAATATCGTTATATTTTAGCCAATGTATACAAAAACTTAACAAATTATATACTAAAACCTTCCTCTTGAATCACTCTATCTATTAAAAAAACCGCATCAAAATCCGTTGCGTAGTTTTAAAGATTTAAGCATACATAGGGATATAGGGACAGAGAAAGCGACTTTATTTTATACTATGTAGTGATGTATTCAGCCCTTTTTGACGTTTCACTACTGGGCACGGGCCTCCCTTCAATACGAGAGAGATCAGGCCATAGTACACCACGCTGGCCAAGTGCGGGTTGGCGGACTTCACATGTCTTTGGAAAACTTGTTAGGTTATCTCAGACATGCAGGTTTTTTCACGATGTTTTCCTTCACCGTAAGACAAGTGGAAATCATATTGGAAATGATTCGCACATGAAACTATCAGAGATGCGAGACCCGAGATTTGAACTCGCTTCACTCGGTTTTCCAAGCGAGCGCGTTACCACTGGGCTACCACTGCCTATATAATAAATAATATGGATTTATTACGATAACGTGTAATTTACGTGTAATTTATATAGAGTTGTAATATTGAAATTGAAGCTCTACGTTGTAATATTATGTCACTTGCAGAAACAACGTGTAATTTGTTGACTTCAAAAAAGTAATAACTGTTAAAATAATGCAACTATTAAAATAATGTTGTACATTTTTTTTATTTTTTTTTGGTTTTGTTTAAATATTAATACACTTCTCGTTTTAGTAGTTTTTAGTCTGTAATCACTGTACTTTTTTTATTAGTTTGTTTGTGTGTGTATGTTTGTTAGTCAGTCGAGGTAAAACGGCTTCACGGGTTTGGTTGCAGAACAAAGGTAGATTTAGGAGTACTACCTTGGCTACTGCTAGTAATAAAAGTCGAAAGGTGGCGCTGCCAGTGTATAACAGTGGCGAAGGGTCCATATAAGACGTTTTACCTTAAAATTATTTTGCTATAATCTACAATACATTTATTTTTTTATATGTATAAATGTTCTTTTGGATATATATATATATATATATATATATATATATATATATATATATATATATATATATATATATATATATATACTATATATGAAGTAACTGGGCTACCGAGCTTTGCTCGGAGTTTTTGGCCACAAAAACATTAAAAAAAAACAAACTAAAATTTTTAATAAATACAAAGTAAAAACTTTGTATCCGATCGGGATACGAACCCAGACACATGTGGTCGTCAAACTTGCGCCTTGGCCACTTGACCACGATGATTATGTCCTAGCGTGCGAATTAGCGACCATATTTTGCGTGGAATAATGCGAAACAAAACCGCGTGAAAACTCGAAAACACGCGTTTCCGAGACATGAAACTAATCTAGATCGATGTATCGCCCGCGAAACCCCCGTATACTAAATTTCATGAAAATCGTTGGAACCGTTTCCGAAATTAAGATTATATACCTACACATATATATATATATATTGCTCGTTTAAATATATTAAGTACATACAAAATATAATAGCTTCATTTCTTTCTGCATTAATACGTATATAAAAATTGTATATTTTTGGAACGGCTTACCTCTGCTAAAATTTCACCATTCGCCATTGGTATATAATGTTATCAATAAAAATTTTGGTATGCATCCTCAGGTGCGTACCGTAGGGAGGATAAGTAGCTATGTTATTTAATGTTACTTTTGTGCTTCAGCAAGCAAAATAAGAAATCACACAATATTAAATGAGCAATTCTTGTATATATATTTTAATTCGTGTATCTCGGAAACGGCTCTAACGATGTTTATCTTTGATATTTAGATAAGGCTGTGTTTTTTAAGTTTATCTAAACCGGTGTTTCTTTTAAAAACAACGCATTTTTTCCTAAATATATATAATATAATTATTAGAGGTTTTTTCTATCAGCTCTCTGTTGATAATATCGTATAGCGCCATCTTGTAAATTTTTGTGGTACTTACATTGTCACCACCGAATGATATATACTGAACGAGCGCCTACGTCAAGAGAAGTTCGATTTCCCAGATATTATTAACTAAAATGACCACGTGGATAAAAATCAATTAGCTTTTAGATAAGCATCGCACGTTTATCGCTAGGTGTCAATCATAATTATAATAGACTAAGTTATTATAATGAAGGGAACTACGCATTGTTGTAAATATGGTCAACCATCACGTTGCAGTTTAATTTAATAATATTATTAATTTGATGATAACAAATATATGTATCATTTCATTAAAATTTAATACTTACCAATACCAAAGTGATACTGAACTTAGAATATTAATAATAAGAATATAAAGCTATTTAAATAAAACTATCTTTTCGGATTTTTTCGCATAGATATTACAAGAAAAACCTTTTTCTACTACTTCCAAGGATGAAATATTCATTTATTATGGTTAGTTATTTTCACGAGTCAAATAATGATTTTTTGAAGTATTACTTCTATACTATAGTAGCATGGGCCAAGGGGGTCGCGAGTGCCGGACCCCTTGGCGCCACACACCTGTCCTCTTCCGGCCGCACCCCTACCCTTCAAGTATACCCCGGGCTTCCACTTAAATGCTACATACGCTGTTACAATAGCGGTTTACAGAAAACATAATATTTGTATTTCATTAAAATTTATGTTCTTAGGCAAATATCCAATTTTTCCGAATAACATTTCTTAAGTATTTTCCCTAAAAACCTAAATCTTAGTATTAGGAACATTCAAGAAAATATTAGCGAAAAGAGTTTAGCTGTACTCAACTGAAAATAAATCAAAAATATTATATATATATATATATATATATATATATATATATATATATATATATATATATATATATATATATATATATATATATATATATATCAAATATATATATAGCAAAAATATATTTCTAAACATATAATAAAATTAAACATATAATTGAGTAGAATCTGTACATTAAATATTTTTTGGAAAATCTTATTGAAATGGTCATTATTATCGATACAGAACCCGAATCTATAGATTTTAGAATTTCTTTCTGTCTGGGGACGCACGAGAAAACCACTGGACGGATTTTGATGAAATTTAGTATGATGATAGCTAAGTATCCGTCTCAACATATAGGTTGCTTTTTATTGGGGGAAAATATATCATCTCTGAGAAATCTATACTAATCGTTAATATGAAGAAACTTACTTTATACTCTCAGTTACCACCGAGTTCCTGTTAAAAATCATAATCATTTATAGCAAATTTGATGAAAATGTATCTGAATTGGATTATGATATATATTTGCAATCCAATGAGCGTAACTAGTATCCAACTATAATAGGATTATTACAGTTAATAGGCTAGAAATCCTATAAATTTTGTATCAGAATATGTTACGCCACGTGAATGATTTACCAATAATCCCTCTCAATTAGGTTAGATTTTTAAATCTATACATTATACTTATAAATAAAATTGGCTTTATGTCTATCTGTTTGTACCTACTCGAAAATCTCTCGAAAAGTTTTAAACCAATTTTAACAAAACTTCTACAGGCCGATTTCTATTTTTGGATGTACTGTATTGTATTTAGCCCTTTTTAACGTCCCACTGCTGGGGGTGGGACTTCAATACGAGGGGGATCAGGCCATAGTCCACCACGCTGGCCAAGTGCGGGTTGGCGGACTTCACATGTCTTTCGAAAACTTGCTAAGTTCTCTCAGACATGCAGGTTTCCAATGTTTTTCCTTCACGGTAAGGAAAAACCGCAACTGTATGTACCCTTTTAAAATGATTTTAGTGAATTATCTAGTTATACATATATTAAAAAGAAACACTACTACTCTCTGATTTTAGACACAAATAGGTAGTACATCCTCTAGGAATGAAAAATATCGATGATGTGAAACTTAGGAGTAGGAGCAATTATCTATACATATAATAAAATTCTAACTAAGTCGAATTTGTACGTTAAATATTTTTTGGAAAATCTTATTGAAATAGTCATTATTATCGATAAAGAGGCCAAATCTATAGTTTTTAGAATTTTTGTCTGTCTGTCTGTCTGTCTGTTACCGCATCACGGAAAAACCACTGGAGTGATTTTGATGAAATTTGGTATGGTGATAGCTGGTTGTCCAGGTCAACATATAGGATACTTTTTACCGCGGGGAAATATCTCATTTCTGAGAAAAAGTACAAAAACTGCATTGTAAGAGTATAATAATATGTATAACCTAAGAATTTGGTTGTTGGTCATCTGAACGCGGGCGGAGCTGCAGGCAATGCTAGTGTATAGATAAAAAATGATAATATCACACGGCGCTTAATATTTTCTAAAGAAAGTTGATACTAACAATGTTAAGAGTCTATCTCGTGAGTCGAGCGTAGAGTTTCATAACTCAATTAGAGTACAATCTGCTCAGTTAATAGTCTGATAACGCATTAGCATGTATGAAGTGAAAAGATTCATATACCTATATTTCTTTTCCGTATTTCTCTATGTATTCTCCTTTATTATAAAATCATTTCCTAGTAAAAACCAATTTATTTCTTGATCAATTAGCTTATAGTAAGAAGGTAAGCCGATTTTCAGACAACTTTTTCTTTGGAGGTTAATAATTTTGTTAGTGTTAAGTTTTTTTCAAATTTATATATTACTACTCTGGCTAAATTATAACTTAAAAAATCTGATCATAATTAACGAAGATATCGCGGTACATACAAACAAAAGCACACCACCGAACTGTATATCCTCCACCTTTTGAAGCCGATCAAATAAATGGATATAAGAAAATTGTTTGAAAATTATAATTTAGGAAAATTGTTTCTAAATTGAACCCTGTCTAGACTCAATATTTCTAGAAAATTTAATCATAAATATACCTCCGTAATACGAAATTTTAATGCTAGATACAAACAACAAGTTATTAGTGTGTTATTGTTAACCGTCAGAAAATAAAATATGGATTTTTTATGGATAGTACATATACATATAATAAAATTCTAACTAAGACGAATCTGTACATTAAATATTTTTTGGAAAATCTTATTAAAATAGACATTAATATCAATGCAGAGGCCGAATCTATAGTTTTTAGAATTTTTGTCTGTCTGTCTGTCTGTTACCGCATGCCAGAAAAACCACTGGAGGAATTTTGATGAAATTTGGTATGGTGATAGCTGGTTATCTGGGTCAACATAAAGAATACTTTTTACCGCGAGAAAATGTCTCATTTCTGAGAAAAAAATACAAAAACTACAATGTAAGAGTATACTAATATGTAAAACCTAAGGTTTGGTTTTTGTTCATCTGAACGCGGGCGGAGACGCAGGCAATGCTAGTCAAATCTATAAAATAATACGACTGGATAAAAAAGCATCTGCTCGCAATTTATCATCAATCACGGGATACGTTCATCCCGATTGATTCATAGTTCCTTTAGACTGTATACATTGTACAATACAAGTAGTGAAATTAAACTTTAGTAATTGAACTAACTCAATTCAATAAAAGGTTTTTGAAATAATAAAGATAATGATGGTGAAATTGTGAAGTGGCAATGACCTGGTATGCTTTCCTATGGTTTCTGACATAGCTAGCGATTAGCTTCTATAAATCGATAGCAGCTGACATCTGAGACTTATAGCCACTGTGTGCAAGTTGAGCTTAAAGTTTTCTAAATGGTCACCCACGAGCGATTGATCAGATTTTTTTTTTAAATTTCAAGATGGCTAGAATATTTCTTATTATAAGTTTAATTAATATTTTTGTATCTTTTACTTTGGCTTCTAGTCCAATATAAAACTAAGCGAATTTTAGTTTAACAAATATTATTTTGTTATAGAAAATGCGAGAAGGAGCCAGACTGCGTGGCGATAGGTAGCAGACTGCGTGGCGCGATGGGCACAAGACCGCCCGCGGCCTTCTGGCCGCAACTGTGGGCCACCGTCGTCAGAAATCTGCTGCTTAAGAAACGCGACACCAGGAAAACCCTCGCAGTGTGTATTATTTTGAAAATATTCTATTTCCATAACCACTGTCTTAGACGCGAATATTTGACATTTTATATGGAATCTATCTATTTATTTACACAACAGAGGTTTTACACGAACATTTTGTTTTTATATAGACACAGTTTGAATTATTTTTTTATATTAAACCATTAAAATATAAATATATTGACTTAAGAATTCAATTTTCTTTCCTAAGAGAACTCCTAGAATTTATAAAATTAAATGATATAATTTAATGTGCGAGAATTGTACAATTGAAATTATATAGATATGTTTATGAGAATGTAATGGATCACATAAGTGATTCTCTATTTTTTACAATAGTGTTTCCTCCGAATTTATTATTAGTATACTCAATATTTAAATAAAAACTATATGGAAAATCCAAAACTGTAAAATTCCCATATTGTACGAATCCTGACTCTTACTTAAATTTTTTACTAACTATATCAAAGTGAAATAATATTTTCCTAATATTACGTAGGTAATCATTATAATATGGCCTTGTAACAAATATATTGGATATCAAATGATATGAACTCAAATTATTACTAAACCGTAAATTCCATCTAGTACTGCCTCAGGGGATAGAAATAAGAGATGAGAAATTGGAGATTTCGTCGTGTGTGTGAAAAGTAAGTATCATGAAAATTGATTTTGAAATCCTATAGGATATAAAAATCTGTTAAGAAAGCATTTTTGAAAATTCAACCGTCTAAATGGTAAAATGCATAATCTTTAAATTTAGTGTGATCGAAAAGGAGAATATTCGTGATTTCTTTTTAATTTTTATACAAAATCGAAAATCGTTATTTAGTTGTAAAAAAATATCCAGGTACAAAAAAATAAAATTTTGTATAAAAAAATTAAAACATCATACCGTTATGGATACTTTAAACGCCCGCGATTACGTGCATTTCGCGTGACGTCAAAGTTTTATACATAAAAAAATGACGCCATTGGTCAAACGTCATAATCGGTCTGACCAATGGCTTGCGTTTGAAATACTTAGAATTTTCCACCTATATTCGCACATATTAATAATTATTTTCTAAATCAAAAATAAATTACATTAAAAATATTGATACAGGCTTAATTCAAAAGCAATAAAAATTAAAAAAAAATTACCTTTATTTTATTACACACATATTGCCTATTAAAAAGAATCTATCTGGTTAAATATAAGGATTATTCTAATATAAATTACAATGACTCCCCTGCAAGCAAAATCGAACCAAAACATACTACAGTATATATTTCTAATTATATTAACTACTTTGCTGTAAAACATTCAAAACGCTTCACGTAACTTTCAACTTTCATTTAAAATATCCAATTTATCTCATTCCTTTTGTGAGATTTAATTTGAAACTTTAGAATGTTCAAATTAGACGTTTTCATAAATTGAATTTGTAAATATTACTGACCTGCTTTCGCTTCCCACGATAATTACTTGATCGAATGATGTAAACAAAATAATTAACAGACATAGCTTTAAATGTATAATACTGTGTATTTTATTATAAGTTCTAGTATCATTACTTCGTCCCTAAGATTCGTAGATAGCCTATAATTTATACTTACAGAGATTATTCCGATCAACCAAACAAAGAAAGAAAATCTTCAGGTTTAGCTTTATAATAATAAAATAGCCCCAATAATAAGTGCCTCAAATATTACCATACGATTGAACTCACGATCATATTCTTTCTTCGGGTCGAACCGGCTCTATTTTCAACCGACTTCCTGCCAGCCAATACAAAGAAAAGCACACCGACTTCGAAAATATATGATTAGGTATGTATAGTAAATGAAAACTACCAATCAGTTATTTTTTACTTTTTAGTGCTTTTGTTTGAAGTCGGTTTTTATTTTTTTGTTAAAAAGTTTTTATTCTATTAAAAGATACGAGTAGAGCCGGTCCGATACAGACGATGATGATTGTCACATAGTATATTACTAGCATTGCCCACGGCTCTGCCCGCGTTCAGATTACCAAAAAACAAATTCTTAGGTTTTACATATTAGTATACTCTTACAATACAGTTTTTGTATTTTTTCTCAGAAATGAGATATTTTCCTGCGATAAAAAGTATCCTATATGTTGACCCGGATAACCAGCTATCATCATACCAAATTTCATCAAAATCTGCCCAGTGGTTTTCTCGTGATGCGGTAACAGACAGACAGACAGACAAAAATTCTAATAACTATAGATTCGGCCTCTGTATCGATAATAATGTCTATTTCAATAAGATTTTCCAAAAAATATTTAATATGCAGATTCGACTTAGTTACAATTTTATTATATGTATAGATAATACGTTTGTAAATCATTTCCCTGTCATGACATCTTATTTACAAAACTGTAATCTTCTCTACACGTGAGACATCACGTAAAGTTACTTGTACTTGGTAAGCTTCTTATCCACATACAATTCATATGTTGATTGATGTATTTAATAAGAGCTATTTGAATAAAGTTTTTATATCGTTTTTGTATTGGTTTGAATATTATATAAAGGGTTTTTTTCTACTACTACTAATACTAGTAGTTTATTTACGAGAATCTATAATTGCTCCGTTTATAAATTTCATATCATCCCCTATTTTTTTCTTGCGAGGGTATGTGCTGCCTTAAAACTTTGAATGACAATAATCATTTTAATCAGAAATATTATTTGTAATTTTGATCACTATATCTATAAAAACAAGTTAAATAAAAGCTCATAATAATATCCAAAGATATATATACAAAGGGTTGGAAGCCTCTCTTACCCCCTTATTACCTATTATGAACCCCTTTATTACCTCTTTTACATATTACCCCTTTAGGATCTAAACCGTTTATTACTTCTTTAAGGTTGGAATTTCCAATTTTTTTCAGGTACCTTAAGTTTTTTTTCTAATCTATAAGTTATATCTATAAGAACCGAAAACCGAAAAGAGAATATTTTACCGGTGGTAGGACTCTGTCAAGCCTGAGGAATCCGACTGGATGGGTACCACCCCCTTATCTATTTCTCCCGCCAAGCAACAATTATTGCATTGTTGTGTTCCGGTTTGAAGGATGAGGTAGCCAGCGCAATTACAGGCAAGAGGCATATTATCAAAGTCCTCACAGTGATAACGTACCCGCGGTCCTGTAGTTTTGTTATGTAAAACCTAAGTGCATGAACCGTAGGTGTCATGGGCTACAGGTACCGCTTTCCATCAGGTGGGCTGTCTGCTCTTTTATCACTGAGTACCATAAAAATAAAAAAATAAATAAAAAAGAAAAGGCTCTATCTTGATGGTAATGGTGACCTATGGCCACGCCCGAGCAAAGAACGAGTAAAGCGCTATTAACTTTAATAGCAAAGATAAAATATAAACTCAAATTAATATTTTTCCTTGCAGGAAGTTCTGGTTCCTCTCTACTCCCTCGGTGTGCTGATCTTCCTAAAAATGCTGGTTCCAAACCCCAACTTCCCAGAAGTGACAAAACCGGGCAGACTGCTCCGAATACATCACGACGCTATATCTGAAAATCATTCAGTTGCGGTAGTAGCCGACTGGGCCACTGCTAATGGGACTTTGGTAAGTAGTATAGAAAAATTATAAAAAAAATATAATAGGTGTGTTTTTTAACGATATGATATCTATCTATTGAAAAATTGTAATCTAACTGAATAAGATATTAAAATTATTAAATTAACCACTCAGGTAATAGCTCCAAAACTTCTTAGGTATAAAGTCTAGTCATTAATCTTTATATATATAATTCTTCTGTGAGTGTGTATGTCACTGAACTTCTCTCAAACGACTGGACCGATTTTGATGAAATTTTTTGTGTGTGTTCAAGGGGATCTGAGAATGGTTTAGATTCACAATTTGAATAATAATTTTCATCAAAATGGTCCAGAATGTTTTAGCTTATTAAAAAAAGTTTGAAATTTTCAAATTAAAGACGTGTAGACAGGACAACGTCTGTCGGGTCAGCTAGTCTATATATAAAATCGATGTGTGTGTGTATGTTCCCTATGGACGCCAAAATGGCTAGAGCGGTTTTGATGAAATTTTCGGACAATCTTCAGATTAGCCCAGCGGGTGATACTGAGAAGTTTGGTAGCGATCAATAAAATAGTTATAAGTCTCTATGTTAAGAATCAGTAATTTTGCTTACGGTAGGACAAACAAACAGACCAATTACTACTTATCATCACAATACCATTAAAATGCAAAATTTTGTATGTGTATGTATGTATGTATTATATGTGTATACAGTATTTGTGTAACTAGACGAATTTGGGTAAAATTTAATACACAAAAAGACTTAGAATGGAGTATTACATAGGGTACTGTTATAATTAAAATTTGCAATACGTAAGCGCTATATATATATATATATATATATATACGTAAGTATTGATTTTTTTTATTATTTTTTACTTTTTAAAGGGAAGTTTAGGTTTTTGTGTCGGAGGTTTTTTAATTTTTTAAATGATTTTTTTATATATTTATAATATTAGGCACAGCAAAAAAATGAAGAAATGCAGAGGGTACTCGTATCAGCTGGGATATAGTTTTATTTCGTGAAGACCATTTTTAGCCCCCGACGCAAAAAGGGGGGTGTTATATGTTTGAAGTCGATGTCTGTCTGTCTGTCTGTGTGTGTGTGTGTGTGTGACATCGTAGCTATCGAACGGATGGACCGATTTCGATGTGTTTTTTTTTCATTTGAAAGCCAGTTTGCTAGCGGTGATTCTTAGCTATGTTTCTTTAATATCGGTCCAGCAGTGTAAAAGTATCAGCTCTTTTCCAACATGATGTAAGGCATTTTGGCGTATGATTACTCGATTAAGTGCTTCATGCGTGCCAGTGTAATCGTTAAATGACAATTAATTTGCGTAGGCGTTTATTTTTATTTTTTATTTATAATTACTTATCGACGATACACTTTATTTACATTAAAATTATTTTTATTTGATTGATATGAATATGAATGCTCAAGATAATTTCTGGAAATTTATTCAATTATTAAAAAGTTATAACGTTCAGCAAAACATTCACAATGCCTAATTTAAAATTGTGTTGCTCCTTTGTTAATGAACATGTCTAAGTACTTATGCTTAACTTAAAACTTAATTACACGATATTTAAAGGAAAATTTTGCTTTGAAAAGAAAAATATAACAAGTATAAATTTAATTTCGAAATTAATCATACTTACATTAATTATTTATAAGCAACAAATAAGTAAACTAAATAAATTCTAATAATGTGTTTATATTAAACGCCATAAGAATATTAAAATTCATGGAACTTAGAACAATCTCTTGCTTTTGACAAAAAAAAAACACTAACGACACGTTTGGCTCAGTTTGTAGTGACCCTACTTGCAGTGCCAGCGGTCGCGGGTTCGAGTCCCGCTGGGGGCATTCATTTGTGTGATGAGCACGAATGTTTGTACCCCAGTCCCCATGACTGTTTATATTTATCATATGTTTATATTTAAAAGTTACATATGTGTAGTATATCAAGTATCTGGTATCCATAACACAAGCCTCGTAGCTTACTATGGAACTAGATGGCGCTGTGTGTTAATATCCCCAACATATTTATTTATTTATTTACTAAATATAGGTAGGTATAAATGGGCAAAGACCAAAACAGTTCAACATCTTTTTCTCCTCTATTTGTCAACTAGTTTTTTTTTCTTCTTTGCTTAGTAGCTATTGATGAGCTTTAATGTTATCAATTAAAAAAAATTGAACTCAGTTTTCTTATATAGGTAGGTAAATTTTATTAATATATTTTTTCGTCATTTTCAAAAATGATTATGAATTATGTATGTGACAGTTTAGATGGTTGTTTGGATGTTTTTAGTCAATCACGCCAGAATGACTGAACGGATCTGGATCAAATTTGGCACAGAGATAGCTTACAGTCTGGAATAGCAAATAGGTTTTTTTATCCCGGAAAAATATAGGGTTCCCGTGGGATAGATTTGTTTTTGTTTTCCTAGAGCGTATCCGAGCAAAGCTAGAGTTAGCCGCTAGTTAATTATATTTGAACTACGTAAGAAACAAACTCAGATCGTCTGACGTAATATACCAGTAACAAACGACAAAGATATTATGGCAATAACAATTTCTACGTCAGTGGCTATTTAGTGTTCAATTACCCTAAATACCTTTCCAATTTACAGGGTTTTCTGGACGACATCAACTCGATGCTCATAGAGTCTAATCAGCACCCAATCAATTGGATCCGGTACAACAACACGACGGAGTTAAACGACGCATACCATAACAACGCCAAGAGATTTCCTCTCGCAGTCATCTTCCATACAGACCCTGGAGCTTTTGGAGAACCACTCAGGTAATAGCTCCAAAACTTCTTAGGTATAAAGTCTAGTCATGAATCTATATAGGTATAAAAATCGATGTGTGTGTTCCCTATGGACCCCAAAATGAGTGGAGCGATCGAACGTAAAATTTAATATATCAACGAAATTGACCATCTATATTTGAAAATACGAAAAAGGATTTTAAAATAATTCGAAAAGTTTCTCTCGTCTTCGTATGTAATTTTTACTAAGGAAGATTTTTATTTGTCAAATTCCAATAATGTGGTCTAAAGTACTGAAAAAATAGATGTTCTTGTTCAAACATTTGCATAGATTTAAAGGATACAGCATATAGTATAATATACATATAATAAAATTGTAACTAAGTCGAATCTGTACATTAAATATTTTTTGGAAAATCTTATTGAAATAAACATTATTATCGATACAGAGACCGAATCTATAGTTTTTAGAATTTTTGTCTGTCTTTCTGTTACCGCATCACAGAAAAACCACTGTCATCCTGGTCAACATATAGGATACTTTTTACCGTGGGAAAATGTCTCATTTCTGAGGAAAAACTACAAAAACTGCAATATAAGAGTATACTAATATGTGAAACCTAAGAATTTGGATTTTGGTCACCTGAACGCGGGCGGAGCCGCTGGCAATGCTTATATAATATAATAAGTAATTATTGTATTTTAATAAGGCTCTCATTAGTTTTTTGGATGAATGAAACACAGAATTAATTTAGAAAATTTTGACTATGAACAAAGTCTTCAGTTTATTCTATTATACATATTTATCTATCATTAGACAGTAATTTACAACAAACATTTATTTTTCACTTCGTTTATTTTATACAAAACTGGTAACGAATTTTACTGTAGATATATTTTTTCAATCCAAAACTGTTACAAACACAAACACATACACAAACTGGTCATTTTGACTTACAATATTATATATATATATATATATATATATATATATATATATGAATTATATATATGAATCGGAATATTTACTATTAGTATTGCCCGCGGCTCCGCCCGCGTTCAGATGACCAAAAACCAAATCCTTAGGTTTTACAGATTAGTATACTCTTACATTGCAGTTATTGCATTTTTTCTCAGAAACGCGATATTTTCTCGCAATAAAAAGTATCCTATATGTTGACCCGGATAACCAGCTATCATCATACCAAATTTCATCAAAATCCCTCCAGTGGCTTTTCTGTGATGCGGTAACAGACAGACAGACAAAAATCCAAAAAACGATAGATTCGACCTGTGTATCGATAATAATGTCTATTTCAATAAGATTTTCCAGAAAATATTTAATGTACAGATTTAGCTTAGTTACAATTTTATTATATGTATAGATTACGTAAGTGTACGTAGTATTATTTATGAAATTCCGAATTTTCAGCGCTATTCATTATGTCTGATAATATGTTAAAAAAATATAATTACGTAACATATAAGTAACATAAATATCTTCAGGCACATTAAGACACTCCTTAGTGGGTCTCCTTTGATCAAAGGTGCGTGTTAATGTTTACGAAAATTGACAAAGCGCGGTTGAATTTATGATATCATCAGCAATGAACATGCTGTTAGGTAATTTGATTAATACAGTTACATATATAACATGTAGCTGTTAGACTTTAATATACACATATGTCTATTTTTCAACCGACTTCAAAAAGGAGGAGGTTCTCAATTCGACTGTGTGTGTTTTTTTTTTTTATGTTTGTTACCTCAGAACTCCGTCATTTATTAACCGATTTGGACAATTTTTATTTTGTTTGAAAGGGTATACTTCCAGATTGGTCCCATTTAAATTTCAAAAAAAAAATACCACCCATAAGGGTGGCAAAACAACTAATGATGAATTTAACCTACTTCTAATTGTCATATTGACTTGAAACTTTGCAAGTATTTCTATTTCCGTTGATAGTACAGTGGTTCGGTGTTGTTGACCTGATCTGATGGCAAGGCCAGAAGGTGGATAGGTAGAACTCTTCAATGGCTAATAGTAGATACTTTGAGTTTGGGCTTATTTTGTTTGATTTGACAAGCCTAACACGTTAGAATCCTTAATTTGCTACTACTGTCTACAGCTACACTAAAAAGGGAAAAATAAAAACTTTTTAACAAAAAAATAAAAACCGACTTCAAACAAAAGCACTAAAAAGTAAAAAATAACTGATTGGTAGTTTTCATTTACTATACATACCTAATCAAATATTTTCGAAGTCGGTGTGCTTTGGCTAAGTAATTAAAGCCTACCTATTAAATACATACCTAATCAAATATTTTCGAAATCGGTGCCAGCCCATACAAAGCAAAGCACACCGACTTCGAAAATATTTGATTAGGCATGTATAATAAATGAAAACTACCAATCAGTTATTTTTTACTTTTTAGTGCTTTTGTTTGAAGTCGGTTTTTATTTTTTTGTTAAAAAGTTTTTATCTTTAATTTATATTCACTAGCGGTCTCTTTAAAACCGTTAATTAAAATTTTGAAAGCTTTTATATTATTTCTCAAAATAGATTCCGGCCTAAATATTTAGAAACCTTTAAAATTAGGTACGAACTAAGTAACGAAGGTGAGCCAGACGGTTTTGGTTTAAATAAATTTTGGGTGGATAGCACTAATACAATTAAAAATATCAGCCAAATAATATATAAAAAATAAATGAAATACAAAGTTAAGTAAATTATAATGAACTATAAAGAATTTGGAGTTGAAAATCATATTGAAAACACCCACGCGACTCACTACATACTCACTTCACTGCTCAGGTTCATCTCTATAGTTACGTTTTAAGGTTTAGTATTGATTTCTCAAAGATGAGATATTTTCCCACAGTAAAAAGTATCCTATATGTTGACCCGAATAACCAGCTATCATCATATCAAATTTCATCAAAATCTGTCCGGTAGACAGACAATAAAATTAAAAACTATAAATTCGGCCTCTGTATCGGTAATTATTATATAACCATTTCAATAAGATTTTCCAAAAAATATTTAATCACCTCATTCAATTTACCGATAATTATGTATTTATACAATGCTCTATTTTTGCAACTGAACCCCAAATAAATTGGTATAAAATAAACATAGATAATTGAAAAAAATCATATACCCAATTAATGACTGGTTCAATTTCTTCCGTGGTATCTACTCTCAAAGATTTGGAAGCGATATTTAACTCTATTTATGTGTTAAATATATTCTGACGAAACGTTTGGCTCAGTTGGTAGTGACCCTACTTGCTGTGCTAACGGTCGCGGGTTTGAGTCCCGCTGGGGGCATTCATTTGTGTGATGAGCACGAATGTTTGTACTCCAGTCATGGGTGTTAATATTTATATGTATGTATTTAAAAGTTATATATGTGTAGTGTATCAACTATCTGGTACCCATAAGTCATAACACAAGCCTCGTAGCTTACCATGGAACTAGATGGCGCTGTGTGTTAATGTACCAACATTTATTTATTAATTATTTATTTATTTATTCCAAATTCCACAGATATACAATCCGAACAAATCCATCCCGTGATGGAGGTACACCATCTACAAGAACTCTCACAACGTCTCCAGCGAAATGTCGAGAAAGAACAGGTTATAAAGACTGGTCTTCGGATTGGTCGAGGGGTGGTCAGCTCATACCGTTATCAGAGATGCATAGAGAAGACACGTGTCCAGTACTCCAGTATTACTATACTGGTTTTCTGGCGCTACAGACTTTAATAGATTATGTAAAAATCAAGGTAAGTTAAAAGCAGTTCTCTAAAAATAATTTCTTCTTCGTTCTGTAGAAATCGAGTTCGTTAAATAAACAATTTTACTACATAAAATGTGTATATAGTATAAACGAATTGAGAAATCCCATCGTTCTGGGAACGTGGATTAAAATAGAACCACTATAATTATAGTAAGGTCATCTCGATATAAACTGGTTTTTATAAAGTCATACTGTGTTAAATTTCTTTTTTCTTAAATCCGCAACTATGATTGTTATTCTTTCCATATACGTATACTATTTAACTGCCTCGGTGGTTTAGTGGCTAGCATGTATCGCAAATCTAGAGGCCCCGGGTTCGAGTCCCGGGTCGGGCCAAGTTTAGTTATTGAGTATACCTATATATATATATATATATATATATATATATATATATATATATATATATATATATATATCAAGATATTCCCAGTATCAGCCCGGAATTAGAAAGTGCCTCCAAGAGCACGTGTTGCATCGTTCCTGCCCGTTGTGTCTTTGCGTACACATTACACAGACACACGCGTTGCACTATGATGATGATGTTCTCCCGACCGATTCCGGCCACGGCGGCCAATCTCATTGAGACTAGCCAACAGGATATATTATAGTGCACAAGTGTACGCGCAGACACAAGTGCACTCTCTATTCCTATCACTCTCATATTCCGGTGGGACGACTGCTCGACACGACCAGTGAGAGTAAAGGCGCAGGACCGACGGCTTTACGTGCTCTCCGAGGCACGGGGGTGAAACACCGCCAACTTCCCAACTCCGGGCTGTTACTGAGGCTTACTTATACAGAAAGACTCAATAACTAAACTTGGCCCGACCCGGGACTCGAACCCAGGACCTCCGGGTGTGCAGCCGTACATGCTAGCCACTACACCACGGAAGCAGTTTGGCGTTGCACTATAATATCTCTTGCGCTGGCTAGTCTCAGTGGGATTGGCTGCTGTGGTTGACATCGGTCACTATTATTATTATTATTATTATTTCCTATATCATTAATTAAAGTATCCTTTCATCATTCTTCATCAGATGGACACAGGCACTAGGTTCTACCCACCTCGAGTGGATCTTCGACAGTTCCCCAAACGCCAACACACTGGAGACTGGTTGGTGATATTCCGGGTAATAATGCCTATGTATATGGTGATGACGCTATCACAGTTCATCACTTATCTCTTAATGTTCGTTGTGGGCGAGAAGGAAAAGAAGATAAGAGAAGGGATGAGAATTATGGGATTGAAAGAGAGCGTTTATTGGTGAGTTGTCAATATTTTACTGAAAACTGAGTATCTTTTATTTATATATACAATAATTTTAAAGCGTGTATAAAGTCGTATAGAATTATCTATACTACTATAAAAGAGAGAAAAAAAATGTATTTTTATATGTTTGTTTGTAATGGATAAACTGAAGTATTCGCTTATTTTACTTACATACATATAATTATTTATTAATTGTTTCAGGGGTTCTTGGTTTTTAATCTATGCAGTTTTTGTTACCATTTTATCACTGGTCAGTACTGTACTGTTGTTCACTTTGAAGGTAAGTCTTAATTAATCATGTTTCTTACATATTTCTCAGAAAAAAATATATATATTAATGTTTTTAATTTTTTTTTTGTTTTTATTTTACTTCCAGGTTTTCCAACATTCGTCCTACATTTTAATCTTCTTACTGATGCTTTTATTTGGCTTTACTATAATCACATTTGCATTCATGTTGACGCCATTCTTCGATAAAGCTAGGGTAAGTTTTGAAATTATATCTTTATAATCCGTAATAAAGACATTATAATTTACTACGATTAGGCGTAGTTTTTTGTGTTTTTACTTTGATGACTTATAAAAATACACGCTGTATAATCTGTATGCCGTACAATCCCATTTGTTTCGTATCGCCAATGAAAATTAAATTATAATTACTAATATAATAAATTGGATTTTGTAATCTGATATTTAGACTAAAAAAAATTATAAAATTAGCTTTGTTGTTACACGTTGTTCCTACTATGATAAGCATCCCAATAACATAATGCATTAGTTTTTCTTTCAGTACTTTATAAGTAGTTATGTAAAGTATAAATAAGTATGTTATATAATGCTTTTTTAGATTTGCGCGAAAATATAAGTATATTTTTACTAAATTATATTACACGGAAGAGACCGACCGAGAGTCTGATTGTGAGGATTTCCCGTAATCATGTTTGCAGTAAAACATTTGAAACGTCGGGAATCAAAATGAAACGAAAAGATAGTTTTATTTAAAAATATGTTGTATTTTAAGTACATGCTACTTTATTTACAATAAAAGGAATTCCATAAATACTTAATTATATATATTAAACAAATGTACATTTAATCATCTATACATATAATAAAATTGTAACTAAGTCGAATCTGGCATTACATTTTTTTTGGAAAATCTTATTGAAATAAACATTATTATCGATATAGACGCCGAATCTATAGTTTTTAGAATTTTTGTCTGTTTGTCTGTCTTTCTGTAACCGAATCACAGAAAAACCACTGGAGGGATTTTGATGAAATTTGGTATGGTGATAGCTGGTTATCCGGGTAAACATATAGGGTACTTTTTACCGCGGGAAAATATCTCATTTCTGAGAAAAAATACAAAAACTGTAACGTAAAGGGTATACTAATATGTAAAATCTAAGAATTTGGTTTTTGATCATCTGAACGTGGGCGGAGCCGCGGGCAATGCTAGTTATTATTATATAAGTAATGTCTGCGTGGAATTTTGGCAAGAATGCTAGAACTCCCCCACTGAGTGACAATGCCGATTCTTTGTGCGAAAAACAAGTCCAGGCTGCTGTCACCAGTAAGACGATAAGATACATACTTTTTATTATATATTTAACCACATTTGCTGTCCAGACGGCAGGTATACTTGGAAGTTTCGCAGTAAATCTGATGAGTGGACTCTATTTCATACAAGTGTTTGTATCCAACGCGGACTCTCTCGCGTTCTGGTTCGTGTCGCTCATCAGCTCTAGCTGCTACGCGCTCGCTATGGATAAGGTATGACCAATCAGTTTAGGCTACTTATTACCACTTTATATATCTATCTAGATATGGATATCAAAACGGCTGGAGTAATTTTGATGAAATTTTTAGGCAATCTTCAGATTAGCCCAGTGATTCTGTGAAGTTTGGTAGCGATCGGATTTATGAACGCGGGCGAAGCCGCGGGCACTGTTAGTTTATAACACGAGAAGAGCAAAAGTAAATAGTGACGTTTTGGTGTTTTGGAAAATGAACAAAATATTATAATATGAGCCTAAAAATATAATCTGTACAAAAGACAACGTTATTCAGTTTCCTGTTGCTGCGTTATATTAGGATTAACCAACAAACACATTTTCAGTTAAGAATATTAGCTAAGAATTTGCAGGGCAAATATGTAATTTCTTCAGTATCTGTTGTGTTCTCTTTGACTATGGGCACTTACGAGTATATGAAAATTAATCGATACTTCCTACTGATATTATAAATGCGAAAGTTTGTGAGGATGTATCGATGTCTAGATGTATAGATGTATGGATGTTTGTTACTCTTTCACGCAAAAACTTTTGAATGGATTTTAATAAAACTTTACAATAATATAGCTCGTACATCAGAATAACATGTAGGTTACTTTTACCCTTGAAAAATGTACGGTTCTTGTGGGATAGATTTTTGATTTTCTAGAGGCGAACCCGAACGAAGCGAGGGTGAGCCGCTAGTATATTATAAATGTAAAAATAACTCACTCTGTCTATCTGTTATACGTTGTTCTATCCCTCCATGATCTCGGATACGCCAGCGTGTCAGTTAACAATAGATTTCTTCGAATATTAATTAATTGCTTAGAAATTTACCCGGAGGTGTTAACCGATTTAGATGAAATTTGGCAAGGATATAAATTGCACTATGTTGAGGGATATCGTCTATATTTCATCCTTATCCCATTTATCATGCGAAGCCGAAGACTAAAACCAGTTATTTACAACTCCATATATATTCCTAGGCTCTCGTCTTAGATATGGCGGGAGTGGGAGTGACGTGGGACAATCTCTGGAGTGGTCCAGGAGTTCCGTTCGGGGGCAGCCTCATCATGATGGCGGTCGACACGGTGTTGTACGGACTCGCCGCGTACTGGCTCGATGCGGTAATACCGAGTGAGTTGAGATATATTATGTTTTTAAAAACTTGACTGTAACAAAGCCATGTAAAAATGCACGCAAAAAAATAAAAATGTTATGTACGAGTTTGTGTGACTTTCAAGTACATATATGGTGTTTTGATTTGTTATCTCATAAGTTTTATAGATGTATCGTTTTAATGAATTATGCATCGTTAGTTCTGTGTTGACGCGAGTTCACTAATATAAAATAAAAAAGCAGTCATGAGGACTGCCGAGTGCCGACAGAAGTGAAAACTTAAAACTATAAAAAAACAGCTGTTATTTTTGGATATTCAAATTAATTGTTTGATCTTAAATTAAAATTTATAAATTAAAGCTGCTTACATTTATATGGTTTTGACATCTATCGACACTCTGACAATGAGTGTTAGTGTTAACGCATGACCATGTCGATGACGACTTACATGAATTTACTCCCCATTCAAACTTGCCTATAATAGTTTTCACTTCAAAAAACGTACAAATTTTTTGCATTATTGCATGAAAATCATATAAGAGAGTTGTATCAATTTGAAAATTACTAAAACTAAAAGGCTAAGACCAAAAACTTATCAATCAAAATCAAACATGGGCTAGTGAAACCGCGGACAAAAGCTAGACAATAATATTAGGTTTCATAAAAAACTCACTTCCATATTAATTTAAAAAGGAGGGGAATAAATATGATTCCCAGTAATTTTATAAAGGGGACTTGAGAATTGAAACATTGTACGAGGGGTTACAATATCGATTTGATTGAATGCCAGGTTTGAGTGTGATTTAAAAAATTTTCTTTCCTTTACTACGAAACTTTTTTTTCATATATTAAAATCAATAGGAAATAATGTATACAGGATGTCCTAAAAATAGTCTCAAGCGGAAGTCCATAGATAAAGCACTCCTTGGGGTACTTGTTAGATGGAACTTATAATTTTTTAAATGTCCGAATAAAGTATTTGTGGTAAAATTTGGAAAAGTTACACAGAAAATTAAGTAAGAGGGAAACTGAGTGGTTTTTCCATCTTCAATTTCAAATTTTAAAATTCAATTTTCATATGGCCCCAAAGATCATGAATAAAATCCAAATTGGGGCAAGAAATTATCTTTCGGTAGAGCTAGTGGATGCATGCAATTTTTAAGAAGCTCTACAAGACATAAATCAAATCACTGGCATTTGAATCCTCTACCGGTCAATTATTTTTTTTTAAATTGCAGACAAAATCTTCAATTTTGTTTATATCTATCTATCTATATATGTAGTTAAATATCACCTATAATCCACTGACTAAACACGAAGATTTAAAACTATCTATGGAAAAAGTATAATTAGGAGTTAGGACGCGTGAACTAAAAATAGAAATTGCAACACGGCCGAATTAAGAAGTTCTAAAGGCTATCTAGGACTTGCATATAAGTTTATATGAAAATCTTATGTTTTACTGCTAGGGGCATAAAGAGGAATTATCCGTTATATATAAATCAATTATGCGATTCGCATATATAGACACAGGCAACACTAGGGTATAAATGGGCAACATTAAGGAGGAGTCTACCAATATTTTTCATAAGTTTACCAATATATTTAATAAGTAGATATTTTTCTATTTAAATAATCATTATTTTATGCTCAAGGTGAGTACGGGATCAAACAAAAACCCTGGTTCTGTCTCATGCCGTCTTTCTGGATGGGGCGGCGTGGACGTGTCTCTGCCGTGCATTTCCACTCCAACGGTGACGCCCAACATAAGGATATAGAGCCTGTTCCCAAGTGAGAATCATATTGTTTTATCTTCATATATTTGGTAATGTAGTCTTCGACTTTCTGCTGTTACCAACTTCTTTAAAATCTTAGAAATATTAATAAGACGTCAGTTAATACTACACCTGCGAAGAAGTAAGAACAAACATTTAAACCAGTATTAAAATAATTTAAATGTTAAATGAATTTCCCACATGTTTCGAATCTAAATTCAAAATTGCTACGATTCTGAGTTCCATTTTTGTTCCTTGCAAATGCCAAAATTATTTATTATACAGGAAATGAAAATAGAAAGCTCTAAGGATAGAGAAATTTTGATACAATTTGTGGTGGTCATGAACTAAATGACTATTTTTTTTTAAAAACTTCCTTTATATTACACTAACATGTATTAATTACAGAGAATTACAAGATAAAGAAGCAATCAGAATCGTGGGTCTACAGAAGAGTTTTCGTCACTGCCGAAGACCTGAAATTAAAGCCATTGATGGTATCGACCTTAGCATATATGAAGGCCAAATAACAGCTGTTTTAGGACACAATGGCGCTGGAAAATCTACATTGTTCAATATCCTCACAGGACTTACTGCACCTACCGCTGGAACTGCTTATGTATATGGTTTGGATGTTAGGTGAGTAGTAGTTATTCCTTTGCAATTATATAGTGTATACTGCCCACCTGAGCCTAAAGTGCAGTAATAGACATTTTGGTCGGTTTTGAGTTAAATATATATTCTAAATCCCCATTTTAGTAGCTATCAGTCAAATTAATTCTTTTTTCTGTAGCGCTAATAAAAGTATTTTATTTTAATGTTTTTTCGGAAGGTGTAACAGAAAAAATATCACAAATCTGTTAAAATATTCCATGTTTACCAGCTAAACCGCAGTACAATTAATACTGCACAAGATTTTTCTCTGTTTCCTAACTAAACTGCAGTGTTTTATCATATTTTGTGGCACTTAAAATAGTAGTTTGTTCTAGGAGATTCAAGAAAAAACTTATTAAAATGCAGTATAATTCGACTCTATACAAGTTGATTATACTGCAAAGGTTAAGAAAAAATATTTTTTATTTATATTCCTAATTAAAGTGCAGTATTAACATTCCATACTGCACATTAACTTGTGGGGGATTTTGTATATTTCTTGTGAAAAACTAAAAGACATGCAGTATTTAATAACTTTACTGCAGTTTAACTTGTAGGATGTTTGTAGTTGCTTGTAAAAGACCATTTAGTTTACAATATTTATAAATTTTACTGCATATTAGTTAGTTTGCTCCATCCCAATTCATACTACCTAAAATACTTAAAGTCAAATACTATTCCCTAATACTGCGTTTTACTAGGTAAAATTATTAAAAATATTAAAACACAGGACAGGCAATATCGCGGTTTGAGGCAGTCTCCTTAATCTGTGGCTTAAGGCTGACTTGACATGCCATGCTGTGTCGTACCAAAGAGATATGGAGGGTAGAACTAAGGAGAACTATCTCTCGTATAAAAAAGTGACCGCTGACAAGCATTAAATTGGTGGCGGCCACAGAAAACAAGTATATGAATCTATACATCTATTACAGATAAATAAAAATTGTAGTGTCTGTTTGTAATGTCAAAATAAACCTTTTTACTAAATGCATATGAAATTATATACGGTACTTATAAGAAAAACTAATTTTTAAATTTTTTTGTCTGTCTGTTTGTTCCGAATAATCTCTGAAACGGCTGGACTGATTTTGACGGACTTTCAGTGGAAGGTAACTGATGTTATAGAGAGTAATATAGGCAACTTAAAAAAAAAAAAAGAATTAGAGTTCCGCTCAAAAAAAAAAGTATCCAGGGACGAACCCGAGTGAGGCGAGGGTGAGTCGCTAGTTTAAAACATAGCGTCATAAAAGTAAGAAGGTGAATTAAACAAGGAAAGAAAGATTTCCGCTTTGCTGTGGCGCACTTTTCAAAATAGTTCTAGCATAGGCAAACAGCAATATAATTATATATTATTTTCAAGTAATAATAATTCAGCACACTTCACTCCGTTAAAAACTACTAACTTCACATCACATCTACTTGCTACGCTAGTGCAGTAACGGTGAGTTGCTGAGCTATAATTTGCTGCTCACTACTGGACACTTTTTCAACTTGTTTCCCATATAAGTTAATTCTCCTTAGTTCTCCCTTCCATAATCTTTTCAGACTATTATTTTTGTAAGACAAGAATACTCATTTAGTTATTAGTTATCTTCAGAAGAAAGATTTTATGTAAATTTTATTGATCCATGCATGAGAAATACATGTGATATAGTATGGTGGATTAACTAGTTAAGATTATCAACATCTTGTAAAGATTGTTATATTGTTAGTCATATAAGACAATTTACACTATTAGATTATAATGTACAATGTTTTGATGAATAGTTGTAATAGCATAGTCATAAATGCATGTCCAGTTTTGTTTAAGAAATTACATATTTTTATCAAAATTAAAGGTAATTTTATATTACTATAAGTGTGGAATATCAGTGTTTTGTTCAAAAAAAACAGATTAAATAGCAGCATTTTCTTAATATTACTGCACTTTAGTTAGTAACAATCATGGAAGAAATGTCTAAAATGCAGTAATAAATAACAGGATTTACTGCATTTAAAACAGTTTTTGAAAAGATTATACAAATAAAGTGGGTGTAGTAATAGGGGCTAAAAAATTAAAATTGCCATAATTATAGTTTTTTATAAAAAAACTAACGTAACAATGTTTAGTATATTAGTTTGGTACATATCCTTTCACTTTCCATTCAAGGTTTTATCGAAAAGTCTCTTTTTGATATATTTTTATGGATTCTAAACTTTAGGCGCCTTTTTCTCGAAATCGTGTTTTTGCTGTTACTGCACTTTAGGTTCGGGAGGGCAGTATAGTCCTGAATTCTATTCCCGAACATGGTAAATATTTGTATTGATCACAACGATCTTTTTGATTTTAGGTTTGATTAAATTATTAAATATTAGACTATAGTGATCCTGAAGTCTTTTGCAATTTAACATAAAAACATACATACAAACACATCGACAATATAAAAACATCGATTTTTTAAAATTTATTAAAAATATGTATGTAATTCATCTTTTTATATCAGTGCCACCTTTTGGCATATTTTACTACTAACATGTAGTATGGGGCTATATAACATGGGGCTCTGTGTACTCGTATTAATCCAGGTCACAGTCTTTCTATGTTCTAAATTTCATCGAAATCAGTTAAGCAGTCTTAGCGAGAAGAAGTAACAAAAATAGACACATATATAAACTTTCCCAATTATAATAATTAGATAAGGAAATTTATTTGTTTATTGTTAATTAATTTGCTATTTTTAGGGATCCAAACGACATGCACGAAATTCGACAAATGATTGGTGTCTGCCCGCAACAAGACGTTCTGTTCGACTTGCTCTCAGTGAAGGAACATTTGCAATTCTTTGCTGCTGTTAAAGTAAGTACACATTCTTAAATGAAAAACTATGTTACTATAAATATTCTTTTGAAATGCTACAGTAGAAAGAAAGCGAAAGAGATAGAGAGAGAGAGAGAAAGAGTGAGAGAGCTACATTTACAGATACAGATTTAGATCTACTTAATTCCTTAACGTTGATGAAGTTTTCAGGTCAGCAATATAATAAAGAAAATTGCATTTAAATAACAAACAAAAAATATTCATTTCTCAAACCTAGTTTCTATTCTTGTTTAAATGTTTTAATAATAAATTTTAAAATTTTTATTTACAATAAATTCATTTAACTCATTTAGTATAATATTTTTAGGGCATACCTCGTAAAATGGTACCGGATGAGGTTCACAAAGCGTTAGCGGAAGTCGGTCTGTTGGAACAGGCGTCCATGTTCTCGAAACATCTATCCGGAGGGCAAAAAAGAAAACTCAGTATAGCCATCGCTTTTATAGGAGATCCTAAGGTGAGGGATTCATTTTTATTAATATTCGTTATTTTAGTGTATGGACTCTTATAATTGATATATTTTTTTAAATCGATTCGAATACACAATTTTTGTATTAATTCATCAATTCTTTAATTATTTGTACAAAGAAAGGAAGAATAATGTATTTAAACAAATAATAACAATTCAAGGAGTTATGCCATTATGCTTAGCCACAAATAGTTTGTTTCGGCCTAATCTCTGAAACTACTGTACGGACTTTCATACAGTTTACACCAATATAAAGATCATCTAGCATTGCTATAATTATGTTTAATTTTTGAAACTATTGCGAAAATAAGCAACCAATACAATGATTTTTGGGAATTAAGGCTGAAAATATTAACTTTTCTGAGAACTTCTATAATATTATAAATGTAGGGCAATGGGTCAACACAATAGAATTTGAATAGAATATTTCTTTATTGACACGTTTGTTACATAAGCCTGTTCAAGCCTTTGACTCCCAAACTAGATTAAAACTGTATGTATGTCAGGAGTCAGAACAGTTTTTTATAAATAAATAACCCCAAGTGAATTAGCTTGAAAATTTTACCAATGATTTGTATTCTGCCCTTTTTAACGTCCCACTGCTGGGCACGGGCCTCCCTTCAGTCCGAGGGGAATCAGGCCATAGACCACCACGCTGGCCAAGTGCAGACTACCAATAACTTATTCCCAAATATATTCCAGATAATAATCCTGGACGAGCCGACGGCGGGCGTGGACCCGGTGTCGCGGCGGCAGACGTGGCGCATCCTGCAGCGCGCGCGCCGCGGCCGCGTGCTGCTGCTCACCACGCACTTCATGGACGAGGCGGATATACTCGGCGACAGGAAGGCAGTAATCAGTAAGGGACGGGTGAGTTGGTCGACTAAGTTTTTGGTTAGTGAGTCGGGTTTAGGAAGGTTGTTATAAGTAGGGGACGGGTGAGTTTGTGGAGTGGGTTTTTGTCGAGGGAGTTGGATTTAGGAAGGTTGTCATTAGTAGGGGACTGCTGAGTTTGTGAAGTGGGTTTTTATTGAGGGAGTTGGATATAGGAAGGTTATTAGTAAGGGATAGGTGAGTGTGTAGAGAGGTTTTTTGTTAAAAAGTTGGGCGTAGGAATATAGTTGTAGGTGGTAAGAGGTAAAGTGGTTTTGTTGAGTGAGGTAGGCATAGGAAGGTAGTTATTAATGAGGGACGGGAGAGTTGGTGGAGTGGTATTTTTGTTGTGGGAGTTGGGTTTAGGAAGGTTGTCATTAGTAGGGGACGAGTGAGTTGGTAGAGGGGTTTTTTGGTTAGTGAGTTGGGCGTAGGAAAGTTGTCATTAGTAAGGGCTGGGTGAGGAGGTTTTGTAGTGGTATTTTGTTGTGTCAGTTTTTGGACAGGAAGGCTTTCGTAAGGGAGATTTTTAGGGACATTAAAGCTATCATAAGTATGGGACGGACGAGTTTGTACAGGGTGGTTTTTTGTTCGGTCAGTTTTGGAGTAGGATTAGGAAGGCAGTGATAAGGAATTAATCAGGAAAAAGGTGGCCTCGCTTATTACAAGGGTTCGAGGGAGTAGCAACAGCATCCTAAAAATCGTGGCTGAGGACCCGAGAGCTCCTATGCTGAGGCATCTCATGCGGAATCATTGCCCGCATGAAATGCCTCGTAAGTACATGACTCATTAAATATGTATTTGTATTTGTTACTAACCCTAGTGTATAAGTGTAGTTCCGAACAAATGTGTGTTACTAACGAAAATGGTTCCGTTGTTGTTCCCAATAAAAACATTATTATAATTATTATAAGGGATGGCTGGGTGAGATGCTATTGGAAGGTTGTGTAGGGACATTTTTGTGGAAGGCTGTTAGTTAAGGGACGAATGAGTTGGTTTTGAGTGTGTTTTTTGTTGTGTGAGTTGGGTATAGGAAGGATGTCATCAGTAAGGACCGGGTGAGTCGATTTTGTTATGTCAATTGAGGATAGGGAGATTGTAATTAATAAGAGTTGGGCAAGTTCTATATTTAATTTCACGAATAATCCCATTTAGTATTAAATTTTAAATTGAAGAAAAATAAAACACTAAGTGGTACTTATATTATAACTAGATAGTTGCAGGGTTATTTATTTGTTTTTTTGTTTGTTTATTCATTTTATATGTAATTCACAGGTGAGATGTGCAGGAACATCATTATTCTTGAAAAACAAATTTGGTATTGGATACCATTTAACGCTTGTGTTGGATGGTGAGTAAAATTTAATAATCATTATAATTTTATTTATTAAAATAATACTAGTGTAAAAAAACTCAAATCAAGTATTATGTGAACTTAAAGCAAGCCTCAACCCCACCACCTCTAGGCCTATACAATGTATATTCATATATCCATATAAAAAAAAACGTGTGTGTGTACTTATGTACGAACGTAAGAAGTTATACTTCTTTGGCATAACAGAATAAAAATAGCTAAAGAATTCATCCCGTATATCACAACTCTCTGTTTGTAATAGGAATGCAGCTAACTTCATCACGTCGCTTTTTGTCTGTCGGTGTGCGCGCGCATCGTAAAAATTTTACTCTCATATTTTTTTCAAACGTGCCTAAAGAAGTATAACTAAAGTTTAACTTAAAAAAAACAACAACAATATTATATATAACATACATATAAAAACCTACCCCGTCAGGCGCGTGCCGCGAGCACCAGATCACGCGGCTGGTGCGCGGACACGTGCCGCGCGCGGAGAAGGCGCGCCGCCACGGTCGCGAGCTGTCCTACATCCTGCCGCACTACGCCGTGCACCTTTTCCCGCCGCTCTTCCACGCCATCGAGCTCGAGATACGCGACAAGACCAACAGGCTCGGTGAGTAATCAGTTCTCTTTGTTATGTTGGATGGGGATGTCTCAAAGGCGTTAGGCGTCTAAAACCTTAGTCTCTCCCGTGACCATGATTGCTGTAAAGCATTCGAAACGTCGGGAACCAAAAATCCAAATAAATCCGCGAAATAATCCAAAAAGATAGTTTTATTTAAAAACTGCTGTAAAACATTGCGATTTGCTATTTTTACTTTTTTTTTAAATAAAATATGTCTTAAAATGTAAAACATGGTTAGTTTGGAAAGGCAGAACAATATGAAAACGAGCAGATACATTTTAAAAATATCAATATAATATAGCCACGTTTGTAAAATAAATAACGTACTATCTAAAAGGTATAACAAGTTACGGCGTCTCGATGACGACTCTGGAGGAGGTGTTCCTCAGCCTAGAGGGGGAGAACGCGGAGGAGACGGAGGATGTGGAGGGAGTGTCGTCCGTGAAGCTGGTGCGCGCGCGCGCCCTCTCGCGGAGCCTCTCGTTGCAGAGCAAGACACTGAGCTATCAGGTCAGTTAGACATTAAATCATCATCATTCAATCATTCGTATAAATAACTGATTAATTAAAAAGATCGATTTTTAGAAATATCGATTATTTCATTGAAAATAGACTTTGTGTTATCGAGTAATTTGGATAATATAAATATATTATCACTACATATTATAAAACAAAGTCCTCCGCCGCATCTGTCTGTCTGTTCGCGATAAGTTCAAATTTTAATTAATTAATTAAAATTCATTTTATTATAAATTTTTATTCTCAACGTTTTGCTAATATCGAACAGGAGTTTACATTAAAAACCAAACTTCGTTAACAGTATTATGATAACATTAAACCCAGGAGCTGAACGACAAGGAGCAACAGAAGACCACCTCCCTCCCGACGCCGCCCGCCTCGCACGCGCTGCACTCCACCACGCACGGCGTCGAACATGTCAAGGTAAATAAGGTAAAGGCATCTCATGCATGTATGTGACATGCACATGTATATACGTGCACTGGATGCTTTTTTTAACGTTGGGAAATGCCTTTACACATACCACCTGTATACATATAGGTGATTATGTGGGACTCATCGGTAAAAGCCAATACTACCCACTAAAACCCAACAGAACCTTCCCCATCCTAATAGGGTTTAGTAGAATGACTTTGACACTTACGCATTCCATCACGACGCCCCGACGGTAGAACTGTCGAGGCAGACCACATCAACCATGGGGTTGCTCCAAGGTCCACTCTGCTATCAGAGAAGTACCAGGAGCAACCCGCACGGTACACCGCCCACCGAGGTGGGCCGCTTTTCTGTGTATCTCTTGGTTTACCTTCCGGCTGGATTGCCGAATGCTAATAAGCCCAAACAACCGCAATGGTGATTGTTACTAATACGGATATATTCAAATAGAAAAAAAGACAAAAGTGGCATCAAATAACGAGATGGGATGATGACCTACGGAAAGGATGGAGGAGATGTACTCGTGGTAGAAATTATTGGAAGAAATTAGGGTAGTTCTATATCGAAGGACAACTTGACGGACAACCTAGTTGCTGAAGAGTAAATAATAAACAATTTCATAATTCAAAACTCTTTTGAACATATAAGTTGTGTATATTTTTTTGTTTGCCTCTTAAAATCCTTCATTTTGATATCCTCCTATATACACTACACGATAGGTTTGGAAATAAATAAAACATCATGGCACAAATTGGCACTGAAAATTCACTATTTTGGTTTTTTACAATATCAATATAGTCTATAACATTAGTGTTTCCAAGGCGAATCTAACGATGTGTCAATCAGTAGAATCGATTAAATCGTTTAGTAATTATGAGAGAAGATAGGATCTGACATACATATCACGTACATGATACAGGTCAAACATTTAACCCTCCTTCAGGCTTTGCACAGTAGGATAATTAAGGTTTTCTTTATTGAATTACAGAGATTTAAAATATCACATATTATGTACTAGCGGTTCACCTTCGCTTTGCACGAGTTCACCTCTAGAAAAGAACAAACAGATCTATTCCACGGGAACCGTCCATTTTTCCGGGTTAAAAAGTAGCCTGTTGTTTGACCGGCAATATAAGGTATCAGCATGCCAAATTTTATTTAAATCGGTTCAATAAAAAAGAATAAGACAGAGAAACAAAAAATTAAAAAAACTGGATTTGTTCTATTTCTCCTCTTACACCCTCCTGACTCGATTTTTTTGCATTTTTTTTCTATGTACAGACATTCAACCTTTACAGTTTTAACTGCCTCGGTGGTGTAGTGGCTAGCATGTACGGCTGCACGACTGCCCGGAGGTCCTGGGTTCGAGTCCCGGGTCGGGCCTAATTTAGTTATTGAGTCTTTCTGTATAAGTAAGCCTCAGTAGTAGTAGAGTTGGGAAGTTGGCGGTGTTTCACCCCCGTGCCTCGGAGAGCACGTAAAGCCGTCGGTCCTGCGCCTTAACTCTCACTAGTCGTGTCGAGCAGTCGTCCCACCGGAATATGAGTGTGACAGGAATAGAGAGTGCACTTGTGTCTGCGCGTACACTTGTGCACTATAATATCTCCTGCGCAGTTGGCTAGTCTCAATTAGATTGGCCGCCGTGGCCGGAATCGGTCGGGAGAACATCATCATACATCACAGTTTTATTGTATGTATAGATAGATATGACTTAAAACTGTAGGTACTATATTTTGATCAGTGCATAAAGAGTTTTATTATAGCTTTAACGCACATAGCTCGGGCTGCAGGTGACGCCCGAGGCGCCGCTGGCGGTGGACGCGTTGCGCGAGGCGGCGCGCGCGCCCTCCTGCTGGCGCACCTTCTGCGCGCTCGTCTACATCCGCACCGTGCGCATGATCCGCGACCCCTACAAGCTCTACGTCATGATCTTCATGCCCATCAGTGAGTATACTTAACGACACTTAACGTTCATGTAATAATGTATAATTAACTGCCTCGGCAGTGTAGTTGCTAATATGTACGGCTGCACACCCGGAGGTCCTGGGTTCGAATCCCGGGTCGGGACAAGTTTTGTTGTTGAGTCTTTCTGTATAGTAAACCTCAGTAACAGGCCAGAGTTGGGAAGTTGGCGGTGTTTCACCCCCGTGCCTCGGAGAGCACGTAAAGCCGTCGGTCCTGCGCCTTAACTCTCACCGGTCGTGTCTTGCGTCGTCCCACCGGAGTATGAGTGTGACAGGAATAGAGAGTGCACGTTGTGTCTGCGCGTACACTTGTGCACTATAATATCTCCTGCGCAGTTGGCTAATCTCAATGAGATTGGCCGCCGTAGCCGGAATCGGCCAGGAGAACATCATCATCATCAGAATTTTTGTCTGCCTGTCTGTTACCGCATCACAGAAAAACCACTGGAGGGATTTTGATAAAATTTTCTATGGTGATAGCTGGTTATCCGGGTCAACATATAGGATACTTTTTACCGCAGGAAAATATCTCATTTTTGAGAAAAAAATGCAAAAATTGCAATGTAAGAGTATACTAATCTGTAAAACCTAAGAATTTGGTTCTTGGTCATCTGAACGCGTGCGGACAATGCTAGTGTGAAATAAAATTATGTCCAGGCTAAGATTACAGACTAGATTGTATTTTATATAGACAATACTTAAAAAAAATTCTAAAAACTATATATTCGGTCTCTGTATCGATAATGTTTATTTCAATAAGATTTTCCAAAAAATATTTAATATACAATTTTATTATATGTATAGATTATAACAATAAAACCATTCATCAAATTCCAGTTTCCTGCGCTCTCGGTCTCTACGTGAAATCGCGGCAAATTGTATTTTTTCGTATGCAGCCACTCAAATTGGAGCCTAATGCATATTTTAATAAGACACCAATTGCTTTGTTCAGCGAAGAGAACAGTTTAAAAGATATAGCGGACCTAAGGGATTCTTTAGAAACTTTAGGCGCACATCCCATAGATTTGTTTGATGGGAATTTTACCAGTTTATTAGATATGGAGAATTTTGGAGCTTTCAGTTTGAAAGACAGCCTGATACCCTTCGGGAAGATAATGGCCTACTACAACAGTACATACACCCACAGTCTGCCTATCATTATCAATTTGTTGGACAATAGCATTTATAGGTAAGGTTTGATGCTTTTTTCTTACATTAATTTCTTGCACAATGACTCTTTTTTGCTTTTTTAAGTTTGCATAGACTCTACAATCGAACACTGCTGAATCTAGTATTATATTTGGTAAAAAAGTCTCTTAGGAAGTTATTTATTTATTCGTTTGCTTTTTTATGGATGATATCGATATGATATCGCTAGGTAAATATTTGATAGGTATGTTAAGGCGGAATTTTTATTACACTGTATCTGTGTAGAACTGAGACATTGGTCTTTTTTGAAAATAATAATTATACATTATAGTTATCATACATTTTTTTTATTTATAGGTTTTAAATAAAACTATCTTTTCGGGTTTATTTTGATTTTTGGTTTCCGAAGTTTCGAATCGCTACGCAACAATCGTGGTCACGGAAAACTTAAGTCTCCTCGAAAAAATTCAAAAGATAGTTTTAGAATATCTAAGAAAATACTATTTATTTTAGATTTCTCTCTTAATTTTGTAACCACTCTGTCCAGGGTGCTAATGGCGGCAGCAGGTCAACAAGACAACTTCAAGCCCATCGAGGTGCTCACGCATCCCTTCCAGCAGACGGAACAACAGGAGGAGTTCAATTTGGGAAATGTGGTCTGCGCTATATTCATGGGAATGATATTTGCTCTCGTACCAGTTACTTTAGCTGTGGACATTGTTTATGATAGAGAGGTAAGCACTTTATATTTCTTTGTATTATAATAATAATAGTCTTCCCGACCGATTTCTGCAGCCCGATCTGTGCAGGTGATATTATAGTGCTGTTACTGAGGCTTACTAAACAGAAAGTCTCGATAAATCAAAATTTGGTCTGATCCGGAACTCGAACCTGGGAGTTTATATGTATTATAACTAGGTATCAGACTAAGGAATTAAGGAACTATTTTTATTGCAGTTTTACTTTAATTGGACGTATCTATGCAAAATAGATCCAACCACAAAAACTAAAAAAGTGTTAGTAAAATTGGTATATCAAAATAGCAAGACCATAGTTTTTTTTTTAAATTCCTTTTAAATATTGGGTATTTTGTCTTCTTTCTGTATATAAGTTGATATGTGAGTGCCATTACGACAGTAACTCAAAAAACGGTTTTCGTTGGCTGGATCCGTTTTCCATAACTACGTCCAATTATAATGAAAATTTTGTAAATGAAAGTTAATTTAAATTTTCAATACTCACATACAAGTCAGGCATTCTAGTTGTTGCGATTTTAATTTGAATCTGCGATCATATCTGTAAAATTTGGAAGTATTTCTAAATATTTCTTCCAGATAAAAGCTAAGAACCAGCTCCGTGTCAACGGTCTCTCCATAAGTATGTACTTCCTCACATACTTCACTATACTCATCTTCATCATGATGGTGACAAGTGCAGGGGTGTTCGTTCTTGTAAGTAAAATTAATACATACATATAATAATATTTTATAATTTTAGGCATACAATTCACAGGTAGATTTGAATAAGATTGTTTTTCAATTTTAAACCCAGTATATATGTCCATATTTACAACTAGCAGAAAAACATAAACAAACCCATCCCACGGGAACCGTACATTTTTCCGGGATGAAAAGTAGCCTGTGTATTTCAGACGATAATCTATCTTGTGCCAAACTTCATCCAGATCCGTTCATCCGTTGTGGCGTGAAAGGGTAACAAACATTCATACATACTCACAAGCTTTCATATTTATAATATTATAATGCGGAAAAATAATACGGATTTACCCATCGATCAAAAAGGTACTAAATACACAATCTCATGCAAAAGTTCTCTTAAAACTGTCACCAATTGTGTTTAGGTAATTATTTCAGTTGAAATAAATATACAACAATGTAAATTGAACCTTAAATGCAATGCTTAATAGTGGTTTTCATAAAAAAAATTAAAAGTGCGCTCAAATGTTTAATTGAGCGCTCATTCGGTGAGGACACTTTATGTCGTTGATTGCGTATCTAGTATGTTTTGATCGATGTATTTTTTTATTCTTTTGATGAATACTTTGCTTGTTGAAAAACTTGAAAAGAAAGAGTTCAAATGTGTCAAAGTAAATGACTAACATACATGTAGATTAGATAACATATAGATTATAGACTAATGGCTTAAATAATTCATATATTTAATCGTGTTAAAAATAATCTTTTTTCAGGTAATCCTCAACGATATACCAAGTCTGACAAACGGTTCGGCAATCACGATGCTCTCTGGTCTTCTGTTACTCTATAGTCCTTCCGCCATTTTGTTTAACACGTGCTTGTCGTATATATTCGACAAAATGGACTCTGCTCAGAGCATAATGCCCAACATCACTACATGGGTTGGTGTCATACCGTTCATTTTGGTGGCGGTATTGGATACATTTAAATGGGGTAAATATTTTTTAATTTAATAAATCCGTTTTATTTACACTGTAATAATTTTATTTTTATATTATCCAGCAATCTTGTCCGCATAAGTTTTGTTTATTAAAGTGAATATATATTCCTACATATATAAATAACGGTGTAGACTAGAGAGTTAGATGCGCTATAGCGCCATCTACAGGCAAGGTACAATAAAATAGACAGCATAAGCCGTAAACTTCGTCCTTTTAAAAACACTTAAAGTTAAAATTTCTTGGAAATCTCTGAAAGCCTTTTGGATATTTGTGGTTGTAGGTACACAAACAAACATTTTCATTTTTTATTTATATGAACAAATTGATTGGGGGGGATTTCTTTGTAAAACATCTAATGGCTTTTATACATGAATTAATTGGGAACTTTTATGTGACTCTCAGTGCAGTGAACAATGTCAGACCCACTAAAATATAAGCTAAAACTTTTTTATTCCAGGCAGCAACATTGCATTCTACCTCCACTTAGTGTTCAGTTTCCTAGACGTTATGTATATACCGTATGCCATCATTTATTATGTCGATAGGTAAGTTTGATTGATTAGGTATAGTTCAAGTGAATAACTAAAAAGTGTGTAATAAATATTGTTGCGTTTAGTAAAATTTTTGTATATTTAAAAGTTAGTACCTGGGCTACCGGAGTTCTTTCTTGTTATATCGATTTTTTTATATCAAAAAAGAAAACAAAAGTCTTGAAAATGCTGTCTGTCTGTTCGTATGTATTAATTATATTAGATCTTTAAAACTACGCAACAGATTTTGATGCGGTTTTTTTAATAGAGTGATTCAAAAGGAAGTTTTATATGTATAAATACATGCATATTATAGTACAGAAAAAGCGAGAAATTCGAAGATTTGTATTTTATACTAACCGTTAATATACGCCGTGCAGGGTGTACGTGACGTGCAACCTGCGCGGGCTGTGCACGGTGCCGGCGCTGGCGAGCTACTTCACGGCGGAGGTGTGGGTGCTGATCGCAGCCATGTTGCTGCACGTGCCGCTGTGCGGCGCCGCGCTGCTCGCCGCCGACCGTCTCAAGAGCGGCGGCCGAATATGTGTCGTGAGTGCTTCATTATACATACGCTAGCAACTTACCCTTGCTTCGATCGAGTTTGTTCCTAGTGGAAAACAAAAACAAATCTATCCCACGGGAACTGTATGTTTTCTGGGATAAAAAGTTACCTATGAGCTATTCCAGACTATAATAAACTATCTTTGTGCCTTTCATCCATGAAAGAGTAACATCTATCCATTCATTCTCACAAACTATCACATTTATAATATTAGTATGGATTAGTGGGATTGATGGGATAGTGGGATTATATAGAGATGTATGTGATTTGATATAGGATTAGAATTAAAATTGGAAAGTTTGTGTGTGTTGTTGATCTTCTTGCTACAATAGAAGGATGAAACTTCGTATATAGCTATGACAGATAACACATAGGCTACTGTTACGCGTCCTGATTTTTAGGACATTAACCATGATATATAATTAATATTCATCGCCTTTTATTATATTTATAGTAACGATTATTTTAATCAATCAATAATTAGTCCACAAATATCTAGTTGGAAATTTTCATCAAAACCCACGTCTTAACGTCACCACTCACCAACGCTTAGAAGCATTTAAACTTAGTCTCATTCATAGCTAATCCATACCTATCGGCTATCTATATCTCTGTTCGACAAATCTTTAAAATATCTTCGAGTCCAGTACATCACATCAAATTCAAATGAAACTGTAACGTATGAGTTTAATGCTTTATGTTACGGCCTAGGGATAGCACATAGGTGTTTTACTAAGATACTCGTAATATTTTCTTAGATTAACGCGAATATTTGACATTTTAAATAAAACTATGTTTTCGGATTTTTTTGCGGATTTATTTTGATTTTTGGTTCCCGACGTGTCGAATGCTTTACAGCAATCATGGTCACGGGAAAGTCTCTCGAAAAGATAGTTAGAACATATAGTTTTATTTAAGATACTGGCACTGCCAGTATGACAGATGCCAGACTCTGGCAGTTAGAGAAGTCGTAGCACACTTAGTACTTAGGTACGTATAATATACGTAATATATTTCTGCAGCGTAAACCGTTAACGCCGGAGAAGTCTGACGGCGAAGCGGAGGCGGGCGGCGAGGCGGGCGAGGACGAGGACGTGCGGCGCGAGCGGCGCCGCGTGGCCGCGCTGCTGGCCGCGCCGCCAGCGCCCGCGCACCCCGCGCCACCCGCGCCACCCGCGCTGCTCGTGCACGTGAGCTGACTCACACTATACATACTTATACATAATATATACACATCACGCTCTACTAATAAGCTAACAAAAGTGTCTGCCTAGCAAATTGTAGGAATAGTCTGCTAGACAGACAGGGCGATCGAGGGCGATAGTTTTTTCCGAAAATCCGTTTTTTTTTTAAATTGTGTTTTTCTTATAAATACCGTAAATAATTTCATAGACATTTAATTAAAAACTTTTATTTCAACATTACAAAAAGGCACTTCAATTTTATTTATCTGCAATCATTTATCTGTATGATGAGCACGAATGGTTGTATTCCAGTCATGGGTATTTATATATTTTATAATATCTATGTATTTAAAATTTATATATGTGTAGTGTTTCAACTATCTGGTATCCACAACACAAGTCTCATAGCTTACCATGGAACCAGGTGGTGCTGTGTGTTAATGTTCCGAAATATTTATTTATCTATCTATATTTTAACAATGTAATAGTTAACAAGAACCGATACAATTCCAATACAAACATCCCCACACAGAACCTCCGCAAGGAGTACAAGCTGCGCACGTCGCGTGGCGCGGCGTGCTGCGGGCGCGCGGAGGCGCCGCGCCGCGCCGCGCTGGCGCGCCTGTCGCTGGCCGTGCACGGCGGGGAGGTGTTCGGCCTGCTCGGGCACAACGGCGCCGGCAAGACCACCACCATGAAGATCATCACCGCCGAGGAGAGGCTCACCTGTGGCACGGTCTGTTGCAGTCTTTGTCTCACTTGTTCAATATTCGTCTATTACAGAGATTCAAAAAAGAGATCCCGAGGGATCGGTATTGGTTTCCCAGGGGTCAATATAAGCTGCAAAGTTTTTAAATTGGTATTTTGTATCAATGGGAAAAAACTACAGATTGGATTATTAATAGTAATTTGGCTATGGAAGTCTGAGGTATCGGTTCATTTTAGAAAAGAGGTTTCTAGTCCAAAATAGTTTGGGAATCCCTGGTCTACTGGATAGCATGCACATGTTTACTCTACCTGTGACATATTTTTAGGTGGAAACTTTGCTGGTGTGTGAATGTTTCAGTTTGTAATTATTTTTAAGAATTATCTCACCGTTTGTTTCTCAAAAATTAATAAATAAATAAATAAGTACAGTTGGAGATCAGGGGGATTGCATCCGTGGTTAAGCCAGGTAAAGTTATTGGATTTTGCTGTGAAGAAATTTTTTTAACAGTCCTGAGTCGAAGTTGCGCCAGCGACTGAGTACACTTGTTTCTATCATAGTTATTTAGCATAATATATGCTATACTTATAGCTAATCTCAATGAGATTGGCTGCCTTGAACGATATCATATAGAAAAACAATACGCTATATCGCGATAGAAGTAGATACCTACACAAAAAAAGTCTCATTCTATAATACTTTCTTATACCTATTTACGTGAATATTTGACGTTTTAAATAAAACTACCTTTTCAATAATTTTGAAAAATACAAATAATTGTATTTGTTGAATTCATTTTGTAATTTTGTACAAAGGCACTGTCTGTAACAACTATATAATGACCTTTGAGACGTCTAAAACCTTAGTCTCTCCCGTGACCATGTGCGCTGTAAAGCATTCGAAACTTCGGGAACTAAAAATCAAAATAAATCCTTCAAAAATCCCGAAAAAATAGTTTTATTTAATACTAGCGACTCATCGTCGCTCCGCTCGGATTCGTCCCTAGTTACGTTTAAACGTTTAGCTCAGAGATGAGATATTTGTCCGCAATAAAAATAATTCTATATGTTGACCCAAATAACCAACTATAATCATACCAAATTTCATTAAAATCTGTTTAGTGGTTTATTTCGTGATGCGGTCACAGACAAACAGACAGATAAAAACTATAGATTCGAACTCTGTATCGATAATAATGTGTATTTGAATAATATTTTCCAAAACATATTCAATGTACAGATTCAGCTTAGTTAGAATTTTATTATATATATACTCGTATATATAGAAATGACATTATAATGAAGCAATATTGCATTGGGCCAGGTGATGCTGGGCGGGCAGAGCATCGAGGAGGCACAGTCGGGCGCGTTCCAGCTGCTGGGCTACTGCCCGCAGCACGATGCGCTCTGGAAGAACGTCACCATCCGCGAGCACATCGAGTGCTACGCCGCCATACGCGGTATCAGCAAGGCGGACACGCCCAGGTGACGACATCTATATTAGTGTGAAACGTAAAAAAAAATGTTTTTAAATAATGGTTTTTGTTTTGTTTCTGCACTATAATATCTCCTATACCTAGTCTCAATGAGATTGACCGCTGTGATCGAAATTTTTGAACCGGATATTATTATTATCACTATTAATACACATATCTCATCATCATCTCCCTACACATTTCCCAATCACTTGGGGTCGGCGTAGATCAGTACATCTTCTGTACTGCTGATACGATTTGGCAGAAGTTTCACGACCGGCCACCTCACGCATGCCTGACACCAACCCTCCTTGGGAATTAATACACGTGTATGTTATCCCACAACAACAGGATAGTGGACGCGTACCTGAACGGGCTGCAGATAATGGAGCACGCGAACAAGAACGCGGAGGAGTGCTCGGGCGGCACGCGGCGCAAGCTGTCGTTCGCGCTGGCGATGGTGGGCGCGCCGCGCGTGGTGCTGCTGGACGAGCCCTCCACCGGCATGGACCCGCGCAGCAAACGCTTCCTCTGGGACACCATCCTCGCCAGCTTCCAGGAAGTGAGTAGCCGTAGTGATATATTGTGTTTGTGAGTTTGTTTTGTTTGATGTCCAGTAGTAATTTTGTTTGATATCCTTTGGATTTTTTTGAAGTAAAACTTCTTTACGCACGCTTGACTTGGGGGGTGAGCTGGTGAATGCGTTACGAAAAAATGTACGAACGTTTGTTGCCATGGTAACCGTTGTTATTGTCTGACAAATGACGATATTATATTCTTTCCTTAAATGATATTCTACAAATATATGATTGTAATATGCCTAATACGCGTTATTTTTAGTATCTCACGTATCCTAATTATTTAAAACATAAATTGAATTTCATAAAGAGTACCGATAACGTACAGAAGTTTTACTTCTTGCGTGTGTATACATTCATACACGCACTCTTTCTTTATTATTATATTAACGATGGTTTCAAGAGACGAGACTTACTCGTAGTTGATTTTTCGACTTAATTCACAAATATAATACCAGTAGCTTATTTTCATTGTATAGAATTTTTGTGTACTTAACGCCTATTTTTTTGGAGGAGCAATGTATCTGTGAGCTAATTCTGTATTTTTTTTTTGAAACATTGCGTTGAAGTTTCACTTTTCATAGTTCAATGAATAAGTTTTATTTTAAATCTACAATTCTGTAATATTTCGTTGTGATAAGCGATAGAACATTTTGGTGATCAGGAGATTTCATATTGGCAAGTCATAGACTTAAACCTATAATGTTAACATTAAACTTTTAGAACACATTCACAGACATTAAAGTATTTAGAACTGTTACTGCTGTTTGATACCTCGTTGGTATAGTGGCTATCATCAAGCATTTACGCCTGAAGATCCGGTTGTCCTGGGTTCATGTCTCGGGTTCTTTTTTAGAATTACGCGATTGACATTTTAATGTACAGATTCGATCTGTACATTCAATATATTTTGGAAAATCTTATTGAAATAAACATTATTATCGATACAGAGGCCGAATCTATAGTTTTTTGAATTTTTGTCTGTCTGTCTGTCTGTTAGTGGAGGGATTTCGATAAAATTTGGTATGGTGATAGCTGGTTATACAGATTAACATATAGGATACTTTTTATCGCGGAAAAATATCTCATTTCTGAGAAAAAATACAAAAACTGCTTTGTAATAGTATACTAAAATTTAAAGCCTAAGAATTTGGTTTTTGGTCATCTGAACGCGGGTGGAGCCGCGGGCAATGCTAGTATAAAATAAAACCGCGACAAATTCCGAAAAAAATAGTTCCATTATTATTATCTACAAATGTCGTTTAAATATAATAATTTTAATTTTATATCATTTTCGTCCAGGGTAAAAAAGGTGCTATATTGACGACACATTCCATGGAAGAGGCTGACGCGTTATGTTCGAGGGTGGGGATTATGGTCAAGGGAGGGCTACGGTAAGGCTTTCTTATATTCTAATATAAATTATTTTGTTCTATTAAGGCAAATATTATTTACTAGCGGCTAACCTAGCTTCGCTTGGGTCCGTCTTTAAAGATGTAACAATTGCCAATGTGTTATGCTAGGTCCTAAACTATCCATGTCGGTCATTTTCATCCAAATCTGTCCAGCCGTTTTAACGCAAAGGATCAACTAACATATACAAAATTTCACATTTATATTAATATTGTTATATTTTTATTTAATTAAATTAAAGGTGTATCGGGTCGACGCAGCATCTGAAGAATCTTTACGGGGCGGGCTACACGCTGGAGATGAAGATAGGCCAAAATAATCAAAAAGCTGTGGTAAATATTAAACTGTTTTAGTCCTTCTTCTTTAAAATCTCTAAAGAACTGTACAAAGCATCAAAATATCAAATTGTATTTATTATTATACTAGCGACTCACCCTCGTTTCGCTCGGGTTCGTCCCTAGGTACGTTTTAAAGGTTGGTATGGAATAGATAGACTATAATATATACATACATAGGTATAGAAAAGTAGGTAAGTACTTAAAAAAATTAAAAAAAATATCCCATCCTTGAGAAATTATTAATTCCCCATACAAATTTCCACCCCCTTTAATTAAAAAGAAATGTAATTATAAAAATTTTCAGATGTTAGAATCTGATTTGTCGACTCCTTCACCGCTGCGGTCGTCCAACAACTCTCCGTCGCTTGGAGAAGCTGATGAAGGTACACTTTTGCTATATATAACTATAATATATTAATTCGCTTTATTTCTAATCCATTTTACTTCACAGGATCTGGACTGGGCTAATCTGAAGATTGCCTGAAAATTTCATCCAAATCGCTCCAGCCGGTTTGGAGTTCATAGGGAGCATACATGCACACATCGATTTTAATTTTACTACATAATATAAAACAAAGTCGCTTCCCGCTGTCTGTCTGTCCCTATGTATGCTTAGATTTTTAAAAGTACGCAACGGATTTTGATGCGTTTTTTTTAATAGATAGAATGATTCAAGAGGAAGGTTTATATGTATAATACATGCATATTTTAGTACAGAAAAGCCGAGAAATTCAAAGCTTTGTATTTCATACTAACGAACTTAGAACGTATCTAGTAATGAACCCGAGCGAAGCGAGGGTGAGTCGCTAGTTTATAGATAAATAAATAAACATAATATGTCAGGTTCCGGAGGGGGGTCACGGACAGCGGAGGGGGAGGGGCTGGGGGAGGGGGATGGGGAGGGGGATGCGGAGGGCGAGGGGGAGGCAGTGGACGTCAGCATACACACGCCGCTGGTCGGCAACACGCCGTCCATACGTTTACATCACCAGCGGTGAGTGGATGGTTTTATAATCATTTTTAATCTGGATTTTTAAATGAACTATCTTGACACGCAAGATATTTTTTATAGTGTAGTAAATTAATTTTTGTCTCGTTGCGCTCTCGTGGAATGTGAGACAGAAAAAGAGTTCAGATTTTTTATTGTGGATTTAATGTGCAAGACGATTTTTAAAAGTATAGTAAATTCATTTTTGTCTTGTTGCGCTCTCATGGAAAGTGAGGCGGAAAAAGAGTAACCTATGTCGGTCCCCATGTAATTATATACTTTATGCTTTTGTTTTAAATTACATCGAAATCTGTTTAGCGGCTTAAACGTGAATAGGTAACACAGATAAAGCAACTAAAAGTATTTCATTTATAATATTAGTATCGATAGCAAAAAATGCTGAAGATGTTAAATATACATAAATATACAGCATGTTTTTAATATTTGTGACTGTGACATACACACACATACACCAGTCGTGTCGAAGTATCTCTGTATTACCTTCAATGCATCTGGCTTGTCTCTGTGAGATTGGCCGCCGTGGCCGAAATCGTTCGAGAGAAGTATTATTCCATATCAAGCGTCGATCGCATCGATTAAAAAAGTATTCGATACACAATCAGCGACAAAAATGTCCTCACTGAATGTACGCTCATTTGAACATTTGAGAGCGCTTTAATTTTTTAGTTTTTAAGAAAACAACTTTAAGAATTGCGTATAAGGTTAAATTTACATTGTCGTATATTTATTTCAACTAGATTAATAACTAAACACAATTGGTGACAGTTTTAAAAGAACTTTTGCATGGGATTGTGTATCTAGTAGTGTTTGGATCGATGGTCGCTTGTTGTTATAATGCTGTGTCTCCGCGGTGCCGGCAGCACGGAGTCGAGCGGCGGCGCGCGGTCGGAGGCGGCGGTGGCGCTGGTGGCGGCGCTGTTCCCGGCCGCCGTGCTGGAGGAGAGCTTCGCGGAGCGCCTCGTGTTCTCGGTGCCACAGCGCTCCGTGTCCAGCCTCGCGCGGTGCTTCCAGCAGATTGAGGAGGGTGAGTGCTGGATGCTGAGAGGATAGATGGTAGGGTGGAGCGAAAAAAAAGAAAAAACCGAGCATAATCTATTAGGGTGGAGTGTTTTTTTTTTCTTAGCTTGAGGGTAGAATTTGTAGCTTATAAAAAAAATAGAAAAAAAAATTTACTCTACATTCAGAGATGGGGCCACTGATGTTAAAATAAATAATTAATTTAATTTTTTTGGTTATTGTCTTTGAAATTTTCTACTCAACTTTCACTGTTTTAACTTGCCACGTCAAAATGTCAGTGTTTTTTTTTCTTTTCAAAAATTTTGTTTTTTTATAAGCTACAAATCCTACCGTCCAGCTAAGAAAAAAAAACACTCCACCCTAATAGATTGTGCTCGGTTTTTTCTTTAGTGCAATGGTAGACAGATGTACAACACTTTTTTTGTGGTGCGAATGGAGTTATACCTACTCTCTATATAACAGATAAAATTAATAATTATGATTTTTAATTGAATGACCCACGAAAAAAGCTAGTACTACGAAATAAATGAAATTAAAATATAGTTTAAATAAAATTTTAAGGGCACTTTTAAATCACCATTCTTTATAATTCATATTTTAAATTAAACGTCAGTTAGTAAATCCTTAAGAAAGCCACCACTCTAGTCTTATGAGATCCCGACGGCCATCCTACTAAGACCACAACCTTGTTGCTCTCACGAGCTATTTTGCTATCAAAGAAGTACCCCGTAACCCACATGATACACCTTCTAAGACATACTAAATTGGTGCACCTTAGCCTAGCTAGAAACTTCAAGCTCAACATGCAATAAATAAAATATAAATGTATATTTTGATGTTATAGCAAAAGAAAAACTAAACATCGTCGAGTACAGCTTTAGTCAAACAACTCTAGAGCAAGTGTTCCTGAAATTCGCACAATCCGAGAATGTGGAATCTTCAGAACAAGAATATTAGGGTCGTTGGTGATGTAAGGTAATAGTGATGCGTTGACTTGACGACTTCAATGTTATATATAAATTGGCAGAATAGTATAATTATTTTTATATATTATATATATTTATTTAGTAATTATTATTTATTGTGGCAAGTCTGAGTTTAAGGCATATCAGGACTTTGGATGGTTGACTCTATCAGAGGTCAATAAAAGCGAGAAGGAAGATGGAATGATATAGAAAAATAATTTAATTAAAAATCATATGAACAAATATATGTATGTACGTGTACGTTTAACAGCATTAGAAAAAAATATCTCGTCAATTCAATGCATCCGGTTAGTGGTAAACGCTTTTGAAAAAAAAATGTAAAATAATTGATATGCTTCAGGTATATTCTGTAGTTTATTTCTTTAGGTTTCCCGAGCTTTTGTATGGAATAACCAGATGAGAGAAACACACTTGGTTCATTGTGACGCGGTCTCTGTCTAACCTTAGAAGAAAAAGGCGAAACTATATCCTTATATATACATAAGTATTCGTCAAATTAAACAAAATAACAAAATTAAATCGTACATGCTTATTTCTGATTTCATACTGTTTTGTTTCTGAGAATGGACCGAGACCCGCACAGTGTGCATCAAGCCTAATAATTACGTGTAGTCTAATAATATTAAGGTGGAAGCATACCGTTTACCTTTAGCTCGAGTATCGAGTTGCTAGAACTTGTTTGAAGTATGTGTTCCGTATGAATTAACTATTTGAAATGCATTTAGTAAATTTTAGCGGTGTGCCTCCACCTTTACGTAAAATTCATCGTGCTACTATATATACTTTTATATACAGGTTCTAGATTTGGGTTTGCAAATAAAATAATATTTAATAGGCCTAGTTGTTTATAAATTAAACGTGTAGACATTAGCTTGATGTGAAATAAAAACAATAAATAGTATAATAACGTGCATAATGAAAATAAAATTAAAGACTGAATCATGCTGCTAAATTTACATTTTTATAATATATATAGCAATATTTTTCAGTGCCTAACACATTTGTTCATACATCCACAATAATAACCATTTAGCAGTATTATTTATTATACTTTTTATTAGAAACAAAAATAGAAGCTCGATAAACAATCAGCCTGTATATAAAAGTAGCATTAAGTAGCACAATGAATGTGTACGGATTAGGTCGTGTTGATACTTTGTAATTTTTTTTATAATTTGATAATTTAGCAACTTTTATATACTGAGTAGATTCGATAAAATGCACTGTGTTTGTAAGAGAATATTACAAAAAAAACACAATTTTCCAAATACTCATAAATTATATTAAATTCTTCCCAAAAACATTTCATATAATAAAGTAGTTGTTTCCAAACGGCAAATGCAAACACAGTGCTTTTGTAAATAAAGATAATAGTGACACAGCGGTTGATCAGTGCCTGTTACAAACGCATGAGTTAGTATTCCTTCAAAGACGTGTTGCTGGGTGGTTTCTTTCGCCCATTCTTCTAAACAGCTGTAACACCTTCCGAATGAGTTGTTTACTGAAAAACGATAATGAAGAAGAATTTGTTAAACAAATCTACTTTCAATAAAAAGTTTTGAATTTGGAGACCAACCTTCTCACAACGCGCTACGATAAATACGCTACTCTCTCTGGCTGCCATAGAGTTCACGTACGCGCTGCCCGTTGACAAAACCGGTTTTTCCCGACTCGAGCTGTTGACAATGTCAGAATGAGCTCTAAAGAAATATTATTACAAGCCGCCATATTATTACAAGCTGTTATTTTCGGGTCAAACCTTGCAACTGATTTTTAAAGTTGTAATTTCAGTATTGAGCTGAAATTTTGCCTACACGTTTAGTTTGGATGACAAAGCATGGTTAGCTAAGTGATGACATTCTAAATCCAATATGGCGGACTTCCTAAGATAGCTGACATTTTTTTAGCACCCCAATGATATGGATATAAAATGAAAAATTTTCTGAGAAAATACGAATAAAAGGAAAACTAAGAAATAAACAAAAAATTAAGTTATTGTAAAAACAAACATTTTTTTATTGTCAATTTTGTATGAGAAGACAGTAGAGCAGCAGAGCTCGTCTATACTTCTTTACTGATTTTAAAAGTCCTAAATGGCACCAAAATTACATTATAATGCATATGCTTATTAATAATTTTACACAATATTGCCATATTAGAAACACAAAATAATACAGGTTTACTGCCGCTATTATGAAATAATTAATTTATTAATATGAAAAAAATATATTAAAAAAACCTCTTTAAATAAATTAAAATAACAACTTAACACAATATGGATGCCACAGTAGTAGTGTAGCTGTCGCACGGTTGTATGAAGCTTTATCTAAGGACTAACTCATGTGACAATGCGACCGCCGACCAGACACGAGTAGCTCATTGGAAATCATTCCATCGACTTTGCTTATTATATTATTAATTAATAGATATTATTTATTATAATTAAAATAGCAGATTTTTCTTCATATTTTTTTAATTATTTTTTTTTTTGCAAAAATGCTTGTAAAGCAATATTTTTGACATTTAAGTATTTGTATAAAAAAATAGTATCTTTTTTCACTTATTAGCTTATTTTTAATGTCGGTAACGCTATAAGTTCTTGATGGATTAAAAATTAAAATAATTCTAGATTTTTTGGCGGTTTTTATACATATTCAAAATATAACCGCGTATACCATTTATGAAGTGGTGGAAAAAATCAATCCAATTTTTGTAAAATGGATGTTATAAGTAAGTTATTATTAAAAGGAGGTCGGTTAGCGAAAAAATATGTTGACACTTGCAAAATTTTTACATTGCGAATATTCATCCATTTAATAATTAAATTAAATTTAACTATTTTGTATTTTATTTTGACACTTTTATTTGTTTAAGTATACACCATGTATATTATATATCCTTATTTATTTTCCCAATAAAAAAAATTCTAGCAAGTGTTGCCATATTATAGGTAATGAATTTAGTTAGTAAGGAAAATATAAGTTTAGTTTATTTAATGTATATTGTGATTTTTTTTCTAGTCACCAAATTTTGTTTTGTATTTATATAACATTCAGTATTGATATGTTTTTATATAACTTATTTAATTAATTTTTTTTAATTTCTCAAAATCTTTTTGCATATTATCTATTATTTAAAATAATCTGAATGTTATATGTTTACAAGATGTTTAATTTTAAATGATTTACAGTCAAATATATTCAGTAAGTATGTTTTGCTATTTAAGATTTGACACATTTGTATTGCGAATTGTTGAAATGCGTCTGAATTAGTAGAATTGTTATAAGAAATAAAAGACATAAAATCATTTTGTTTGATTTTTATACCTTTATATTTATTTAATTTAACCTTACTTACTTCTTACTTCATAATCTATACTTCTATTTCAGTCTAAATATATAGACGGAGTCCGCCAAAAAATTGTCAAACTCGAAAATAGTAGCGTGTTTTTGCTGTTTATACAGCACACAGCCTAAGGTTTTAGACATTTCAGAAATTATCTAGACTAATTAATATTAGTCTACATAATTTCTGAAATGTCTATATATAAAGAGGCAGAGTTTGTTTGTTAGTTTGAACACGCTAATCTCAGGAACTGCTAATCCGATTTGAAAAATTCTTTTTGCCTTAGATAGCCCGATTATTGAGGAAGCTATATATCGTCCCGGAAAAATGTACGGTTCCCGTGGGATAGATTTGTTTTTGTCTAGGGACGAACCCGAAACGAAGCGAGAGTGTGTCGCTAGTTACATAAAACATAATTAATAATTGTTACAGACGGTATCTATTCATCAATACCGTCAATAATGACTAATTAAAAACCAAAATAAATCCGTGAAAAATTTCGAAAAGATAATTTTTAAAAGTGAAAAATATTTATTGCACCTATTGATTCAATACGATCCTTATGAGTCAAAAGTATTAAATATAAGGAATATCAATGAATACATTAAATAAAAATTAGTAATACATTATCACAAGTACTTAATATACTCGTACATAAAATTTGCCTATTACAATATCTATACATATAATAAAATTGTAACTAAGCCGAATCTGTACATTAGATATTTTTTGGAAAATCTTATTGAAAAAAACATTATTAAAGATACAGAGGCCGAATCTATAGTTTAAGAATTTTTGTCTGTCTGTTACCTCATCACGGAAAAACCACTGGAGGGATTTTGATGAAATTTGGTATGATGATAGCTGGTTATCCGGGTCAACATATAGGATACATTATACCGCGGGAAATAAACTCATTTCTGAGGAAAAATGCAAAAACTGCAATGTAAGAGTATACATACCTACTATGTATTATGTAAAACCTAAAAATTTGATTTATGGTCATCTGAGGCGGAGCCGCGGGCAATGCCAGTTCATATTATAAGATATTTCAATATACCTATTGTTTTTTTTAATGATAGCAGAGATAGATTGACGTGATAGACTATACAGCATTATTATTATTGTACGTAAATTTTTCATGGAAAAAATAGTAAATTTTTAATGGACATGTTTATTTTTTAAAGTGACGTTTCATCACGACAGCTCATTTGTGTTAGATAAGTGGTATTTGTTAGAGGATCACCGATGACAAAAACTTCAAGAAAACACGCTTATTTTTTATTTGTTTACTGTAGTAGCATTTGCTACTAGTACCTACGTACTTAGGTAACCTGATTAAATATGATATGGAAAAAATAAGAGTATATTTTAAATAACATGATAACGATGTAGAAATATGGCCTCAATCAGCGTCTGCTATTAGTTTTGATGATTTAAAAAAATCTTGGCTTGGCTGCGAAGAGTAAACTTTTGGTATATTTCAGAGATGAAAGCTTGGACTTGGAAAATCGAAGGTGTCACACTCCATCACGACGATATGTATTTGAAACTGGTCGTGTATAATTTAAATTACCAGTTTCATAAGACGTTTTCAAAAAAAAACCACAGCTAAGGGTGGAA